GTATAACCGTAATCGACTATTACTAATAATTAATATTCGGCATTCTACCCTACGTCTAATATACTAGACTAAGGTTTATTATAAGCCGTTAAAGTATAATATAAAACGAGATGTTAATTATCGCCCTCGGATATAATACTTCCTAATAATACTAATAAACTAATCTATAAATCTTTCTACTATCGATATTTCCTTCTATAATAGTAGCTTAGGTTCTTCGATAATAACGGTATAGGTAACTCTATCGGTATAGGCTCTTAAACGCGACTTTATCTAAGAGCTATACTTTTCTCTCCTTATCGCTACTATAAGCGTTTTTATTATCGGTAGGAGGTAGATCGGCTAGAGCGGCGGCGGCGGTACTAAAGGTAGAGATATTAGTATTTAGGCGATTGCTACGGCCTTAAGCGCGGCGGATAAGCTCTAAATAGGTAGTATCGGAGTAGACGTAATTGCTACCGTAGAAGCGATATAGTCCTTCGCGGTAGCGACGATCTCTTTCTTCGAGCGTTATATAGCGACGATTACCCTAACCCTAACCCTAATCCTAACCCTAACCCTAAGTAGCGGAGAGGTCTATAGCGTCTAGGTTATAGATAGTCGTAGTCGTAGTAGTAGTAGTGCTATTACTATTCGCCGAGGTAAACTATTCTTAGTTATTACGTAGAATAGTATATCCTTATAGAGGGTATCCGTTACTAGAGCCGCTAGCGTTATTACTATAGCTACGGCTAGTATTAGGGCCTTAGTTAGCGGTACTACTAGATCCTAGCTTAGTATTATTACAATTGCTTTCTATACGGTACTAACGGAGCCGGTTATCGATAATAGTTAGTCGGCGATAGAGTAACGAAAAGTTAGTAGGCTTATTATATATATTACTAAGCGCTACCTTTAATTTAGAAGATAAGCTACGCTTAAGGGCGTTAACTTAAGCTCGGCCTTTATAACTAAGTAAGGCGTTAAGTCGATTAAACTCTACGAGATAGTAAGTAAATTCCTTATTCTTCTACTTTAAGTTATCTATCTTATAGCTAGTAGTAGCGACCTCGTTAGGGTTACCGAAGGCGTTAACTAGTAGGTTACGGAAGTCGTTAAGGTCGTTAAAGTCTATAATTACGCCGTATTCGTTATAACGGACGTATAGTTAGACTATAGAACGGGCCTTGCCGGTAGTACGACTATACGTATATATTAGTCGGTCCTATAGCGTTAGAAAGCGATTATTATTAATTATTAACTTAATCGTAAGCTTAGTAAGGAAGGGTTTTAGCTTTTTACGGTCTCTATCGTATTTCTCGGGGTCTAGATACTTCTCGCTCTTACTATATCTAGTATAGTTATTATTATCGTCGATACTACGGTTAAATCGAGAACGTCGGAGAGGCTTAGGTTAGTCGCGAAAGATAAAGGGGTCGAGAGGTCGACGGAATAGAGGTCGGCTATTATCTAATATAAGTCCTCGACCGATTAGATTATATAATAAAGACGCTTCGGCGTCGCGACGAGCGTAAGCGGCTTGTTTACTAGCTCGTCGGGCGATATCTTCTACGGAAGACTATTATTATTATAGGCGAGCGACCTACTAAGCTAGGTTATTACGCTACTATTACGTAATAACTAAGGAGTTACGTACTAAATCGGCGGTTCGACGCTAGTATTCTACTTTAGTTCGAGCCTATACTAGCTCGCTATTAAGATAAGTATTAGTCTTATAATAAGCTTATTATACCTATTCTAGTATCTCTACCTCTTACTAGTATTACTAACGAAGTGTAGCTACTAACTAATATAGCTTAGTTATATACTAGAAGATGTATTTAGCGGCCTCCTACTCGTTTACCCTATTAAAGAACTAATAGAAGTCTTAGAGGCTACTAGGTAGCGGCTATTATAGTATGCTATCGATATCGGCGAGACTAGGTCGTAGACCTTGCGGTAGTTATAGTAGTTCTAGTGCACCGTTTAATAGGGCCCTAGCTATTCCTATATAGTTAGGCGTATTCGTATATTCCGAGCCGCTACCGCGATCGGTAGGCGGTCTTAAAGGATCTATAGCGAATCGGCGGTATTACTACAGTCGGGTAGCTTACTATACCTAATATAGATTAGTATATAGGTCTATTAGCACTATCGTATAATAGGGAGCGTAGAAGGGCGATAGCGATCGCTAGCGGTATAATTCCTCGTATAGGCGTACGCGATAGTACCTACGACGTTATCGTAGGTAATAAAGGAACTCGTTATTCTATTAAGATATTAATTAAATAGCTATCTAAATTAATAACGAGTTAAAGAAGAAAGAGAGAGAGGCTCTCTCGCGGGAGAGGCTTTTATTTACTCGGCGGATGCCTTAGGCATTAAGTTACATAACCTTTAGTTACGTAACCTCGAATTGTATATACAAGTCGCTAAGATCGTAACAAAATAGAATATAATTTTAAAAATATAAAGGAGTTTAAGAGCTTTAGTAGTAGATTTAGATAGAAATTAAATAAAATTCAAATAGAACTTAATTAAATCTAAATTAAATCTAAATAAAATCTAAATAAATAGGATTCGAATTAGATTCGAATAGGATTTAATTTAATAGGACTCGAAAAGAATTTAACTAGGATTAAAATAGAATATAGAAAGGACTTAGAAAGATTTTAGAAAGGAATTAGATAGGAATCGGATAGGAATCGGATAGGAATCGGATAGGAATCGGATAGGAATCGGATAGGAATCGGATAGGAATCGGATAGGATTTAGATAGGATTCGGATAGAATTTTAGAAATAGTTTAGCTAAATACTGAAATAACTAATTAGCTAGTAGATTAGCTATATTTAAAAATTATATTAGTTAATTACTAAGACTTTCTCTAACTAGACTTAGAGACTATTAACTATTTAGATAATAAAAAATAATTATAGTAGCTAATACGAATAGAATATAAAGAAAACAGAATAGAAAGAATTTAGAAAGGATTTATATAGAATTTTAGAAAAACTTAGCTAAGTACTAAATGAAATAACTAAATAGCTTACCTATATAGAAAATATTATTATATTAAAATAATAAGACTTAGTTTAATTAGAAGAAAAATCTACTTTAATAATAGCACTAATTCTAGTAGCGAGTTTAATTAGAATATAAGTAGGATATAGACAGTACTAAAATATACTCCTATAACAAACGAATATAGATTACTAATAATATAGCCCTATATACTAGATATATACCTATATAAAAACACTACTAGATATTATTATACCTAGAATTAGATCTACTACTTAGTTCTACCTAGAACTACTCTAGTAGTATCTAGTTAGAAGTAAAGCTAGGACTATATTTGCCTTCTAGACCTATTTAGTTTCTATATAATTTCTAATTAAATTATACTAGAATTCTTTAAGAGTCTTATTAAAGTAATTTATTTACTTAGTTATAGCTTATAAAATTATAGCGCTAGGCTTCAACTTATATACACTTCTACTTTTATACTTACTAGGCGTATCTAGTTTTAGATTTATAAGTTTTTTAGTTATTAAAGTTATCTAAAGCTATAGAAATCTACTTTATCTTTTATTCCTTTCCTATTCCTTTCCTATTCCTTTCTTATTCTATTCCTATTCCTATTCGATTCCTATTCGATTCCTCTTTAATTCCTCTTCGATTCCTCTTTAATTCCTATTCGATTCCTATTCGATTCCTATTCGATTTCTATTCGATTCCTATTCGATTCCTATTCGATTCCTCTTCGATTCCTATTCGATTCCTAGTCGATTCCTAGTCGATTCCTAGTCGATTCCTAGTCGATTCCTAGTCGATTCCTAGTCGATTCCTAGTCGATTCCTAGTCGATTCCGATTAACTTTCGGCAAGTAGGGCTAACTTAAGCCGAGGCTACGTACGGTCTACCGTACGGACTACTACGGCTCTATCCGATTAGTCAATTCGGTAGTTAGGTCGGTGATTTCGGTAGTTAGGATTTCTAAGTCCCCCCTTAAGATGCAACTAATCGAGATTCCTCCGTAAGCCGCAAAATACCGTACCGACGCCGCTCTCTGCACCCGAACTGCCTAGTTATCTCCTCCTACGTACCGAAATCGGTATCGACAAAGCAGAATAAGGCGTTTAGTAAGGGCCCCTTAACTACGTCGTGCCTAAGAAGGCTTAATAGATGCTTGGCTCCGTGCAAGCATTATAGCGAATTTAGGCGGCTCTTAGAAGAATGCTTGTGATGTTAAGCCCTAGGAGCTACGAGGCCTCTAGCGTAGCGTATAATGTCGGGTATTACGGAAGGAGAGTCCTAGATAGTGATTTAGGTTCACCGTATATTAAGGATTGGGTCGTATGAACACGTTATCGTCACAGTGTTCATACCGTGTTTATAGCGAGGCGATTTGCGTATTAGGCTTAGTGTCGTTCCTTATATAGGCAATGAGACTTAGTAATTAGTAGGGGATACCCTAATATACCCCTTCCGGTTAGAGGGGTCCACTTAATGTAAGTGACGGTTGTGTTCACTAGCAGGCTAGCCTATAATAACGTGTTCATAGTGTTCATAAGCATGTGACCACAGTGCGTGAGTGGGGACCTAAATCACTAGTCCTGGAATCGGGAGAAGTCGGTTTTGGCCTGCTCGTATCCGTCCATCGGCGTTCAGTGACGAAGGCGTGTCGCTCAATGATGCCAACTTAGTTTCGAGAGATCCGAGAGCCCTGCAGAAGATGGACTCAGACGACACGGAGAAAGTAGACTGAACTCAACAGTCAGGCGGTCATTGCGAAGGGATAACTCTCAATGATCGATTCTTGTACACTCGGCCCTCATCATTCTTGACAGGAGCATCGTCACCTTCCCTTCCCGGAACAAACAACACAAGGCGTGAGTCCACAATCACGTGGAGAGCATTGACTGCTGATACATATCAATACTGCAATACCTAAAGCGACCGATCAAACATTGCTTCAGCACTCCGCGAGACCTCCATTCGTGAACGCCTATCCCATCCCTATCCCACCACCTCGACAGCGCCCCAAACAACTTCACTCTTCCGACCATCTCCCAAACTGGATTTGAAATAGCACGTATCGCCCATAAAGCTGACCCCAACACAATCCTCCTTCTCCGCACAATCCTCAATGCAGTTTCTGAAACGGTCCTTGCCAGTGTAGCCGCCACGAGCACCGCGCCTGCCCGGTAAGTCGCCGCCGGGATGATCGACACCGCACTCGATCTTATACTTCTGTACCGGATTGAAATCTTTCGTTTCAAGGATGACACCGTCGCAAGCCGAACACTCTGGGAAGTCCATGTCGCAAGCTGGTTGATCTACACCATCCGGTTGTGTGGAAAGCCGACGGATCCCGGTAACATATTTGTTGTCCTTCGCTTCTCCGAGTTGACTCTTCATGTAGCAAGCGGAGCCTGAGAGAGATGCGCCCACGCAGCCTTGAGTGCTGGCACAAGCCTCGATGCATTTCTGGAGCCATAGCTCTCCATTTTCATTGTTCTCGTTGGACCTAACATCCTGGGCCGCCAAATCTCCACCTGCAAAGTCTTTTCCGCACTCAATCGCGAATGTTTGATTGGTAGCTGTTGTATAGTTGGTGCCATTTGAGTCGGGACAGCTGATCGGTGGTGCTGGAGTCGTTGCGTTGGCCAGTTTGGCCCCCAACAGGCCATCAAAGGGTACGGCTTTCCCCAGGACAGACTTTAAGTAGCATGCAGAGCCACTCAGAGAAACATCGACGCAAGGTTGTGTTCCATTATAAGAATCACATGCATCTATACACTCTCTGAGGCTTCGCACGTACTTGAATCCACCTTCATCTTTACCAATGTCACCTCCACTGTGGTCAATCCCACACTCGATGATGAAATCTTGACCTGAGGGAGCGGTGTATGATGTGCCATTGCTTGCAGGACATGTCAAAGGTGTCTCAGTTTCAGTGTTGGTGCTCGTAGTAGCAGTGCTGGTGCTCGTAGCAACAGATGTGGTGATACCTCCTAGCGTCGATGTCGTGGAAGTTGCCGCAGCAGCAGTGCTGGCGCTCGCAGTAACAGATGTCGTGGAGTTCAAGAGTTCCGTGGATGCAGCGGTAGAGATTGAATTGGTAGCAATGCTGCCAATCGTCGTTTCTGCTTGCCGGATGCCCAGGACGCGCAATAATCCGATGTCTCGAGCATCAGCCAAAGAGGCAGTAGCTGCCAGTGAAAGCAAAAAGTAGACAGAGACCCCCATGTTCTCGTTTTATGGGAGGCGACTCTGTGAATGTGCTGCTGCTGATGCTGCTTCCTTGCCGTACTATGCTGGAGGTGAACCAAATTTATATACAGAGTCGGGTCCCTGCTATGCAGCGATGGAATTTCGCCACAGTCCCGACCTTCTGGCATTCTCCACTGAAGTTAGGAAAGCTCTCAAACCAGAGGTCGAATGCCACGTGATTGAAGTGCCATGGCTTCTAGGCACATTCACCACATTCCTGACATCCCTTCTTGCTCGACGCGATGCAACGCATTCTTAAACTCATTCGAACATCGCCTCGGGCCAGGAAGTCCGGCTGTATTCCATTCTCGATGCTGTGCTGTATCCCTCATGCAATCATAGCTTCTCGTTTTCTCCCGGAGCATTCTTTTCCGACATGCCATTCGATTTCTTCTCGCTCGGCAGCTCACTCACATTCGTCACTGGTCGTCGATTCTCCCCGGACGTGTCTGCAGCCTTCGTGTGTTCGTCGGGATTCGATACGTTCCTCGTATTAGATCCCCAGCCGCTCCTTCGTTTCTCGGCAGCCCAAGAACCCCATGAACTCAGATATGCGCCAGCTCTCTGGCTCGCTGCAGCAACATTGGCGCGCGCTTGACTCATGTCTGGCTTCGCGAATCGACCTTGCACATCTGCACCGGGAGCAGGCGGATTCGCTGCGGCGGCGGCACGAGCCTCCTCTGACCTTTTACGCTGAGCTTCTCGCATGAATTCAATGTCGGCCCATACTTTGTTGAAAGCCGTGGTCACCTGCACACGACCATCTGCCAGTCGCTTACCTACCACTTCCTTGGTATCTCGAAATCGCTCGTCGAGGTGAAGATCAGCAATTTGCGTCGCGAGCCTTCTTTGGACATCTTCGATCGTGAGGCCACCAGCCATCGGATGTTTAGGTTCGCAGATATCGAAGAGGTGATCATCGGTAGTGCGATCCCAGAGCTTGTAATTTTCAGATTGTTGCCATGCCTCGACATAACGATCTGAGAATTCAGTGACTGGGTCACCATCAATGTCTGCGAGTAGCGTCTTGGGGTCTCCGCCACCATGCTTAGCAATGTACTTGTGATATTTGGCAGCTGACAACAAGGCGATGATATATTCTTCGAAATTGAGGCGGATCATCTCTTCACTGCCAGCATAGCCATGAGTGTTGGGTCGTGAGGGATCGCTTTCATCCCATGTATCGTTTACCGCTTGGGTCAAAAAGTCGATCCACCGTCTATCAGCCACTGTCAATGCCAATGACGGCCTTAGTCCAGGGTTCAAGATGGTGACAGAATCCTCGTCAAGATTCACGAGTACGTCACAGTACTTGTCCTTTTGCTGCAGAAGCAGGCTGTTCGTGCTGCCTACAATGTAACTCTTTGTGTCCAGATCCGTGACAATGTCCAACTGCTGAAGTGGTGTATATGGTCCAAACATAGATCCTGTACCAAAGATCTGCAGTGGCAGGCCAACGTACGCGAGCAAGGATGTTCGATCGCTTGTGCGGACACCGTCCTGCTTTCGTAAATTCTCCGCGTAACGATTCATCGATGGATCTGCACAATCACGCAAGCTACGCACCAAACCTGGTATGAGCGAGATTAGCGAGAATTGCAGTTGACATACTCTTTCGCAGTGCGAGCCAAAGAATAGGATCTACACTGGGTTGTTAGTCGAGTTCTCGGTAGTCAAGCCTGGCTTTATACCTTCTGCTGTAGAAGTAGGCACTTCAGCAACACGAGAGTCTGCCACTTGAACTTGTGTATGAGCTCGCGCAAGCTCAACCCAAAGAACTGATCGCGTTCATCCTCACGGGGATTGGTATCCTCTTTAGCCAGACTCTCCTGGAATTTCTGTTTTCCTGTCAGGTTCCGGTCCCTCACCAAGCCGATCTAACGACCGCAACTCACCCACCTGTAGAACCTCAAGGTCTCTGAAATCCCTTTGTGCGAACCATGCTCTTGTAACCACACTCAGCTTCTCTCGTACCGCAGAGAAGTTCTGTGGCCGATCCGTGATAGCCACGACAGCTTTTTGTACCGCACTTCTGGTCACCTCTTCACCCTTAAATAGCAGCTCCGAGGCTGGAATTTGATGGACACAGGAGATACCGAAGACGCTCATGGGTTCAACGTCCTGCCTCTCCGAAGCCTTATAGACCAAACTGAAATAACTGAACTCTTCGTCGCTCTGGTGTGCCCCGTCTGGCAGAGCCATATAGGGGATCAGCTGCCAGTCATTCTCGATTGTCGGATCACTGCCTTCTGCGCCTATCCAGTGTTCTATCTCCGGACCTCGATGGTGATTGAAGTCGACTACGCAGACGAGAGGCTTGAACGTGGCATCAGAATGTCCGTTTGAGGTGGCCATGGTGTGTGAGGCTATATTCGAGTCTGGAGGGAATGTGTGATTCTAGCTCTTCGTGAGCGGCTTCATCGCTATGGAGTTGTCGAAAGCATACACAACAATGCCCTATGCTCGAATGAAACAAATGCAATGGGTCTGCAATGGCAGAGGATTGGCACATGCGAGTGCCAGCGCATAGTAGCAGGGCTCTCCCATGCACAGGGTCTCTTCCGCGGCGGTGAGAGCTGTTGCCCAGGAATTGCCTTTTCCACAAATCACTTCATCCAACCAGACTAAATACTACAAATGACTTCCGTAAGCACCCTAAATCAAGCAAACGGACTTGCTCGTTGCGGCAATTGTCTACATCGCATTGTCCGTACGATTCTGGCATCATAACATAGGCAGATCCACGTGTCCCTCGGATCTACTTGTAGTAAGATACACATATGCAGTGCAACACATGATCTCCGCCTCATTGTACGCCCCAGCGCCCAGAAATGCAAAAGTCACCAGATCATGACCTCTTCAGCTTCTCGGTAAGCTCTGGCACCTTCTCAAACAGATCTCCTACCAAGCCGACGTCAGCCACCTGGAATATCGGCGCATCGGGATCTTTGTTGATCGCTGCGATGACTTTCGAGTCCTTCATGCCTGCCAAGTGTTGAATGGCTCCAGAGATACCTGCGCAAAGATATAGCTGCGGCGCCACATTCTTTCCCGTCTGTCCCACCTGGAGAGAGTTGTCTGCAAATCCAGAGTCGACTGCAGCGCGGGAGGCACCAATTGCCGCACCCAAGGCATCTGCGAGAGGTGGCATAAGCCTGTCAAATTCCTCCTTGGACTTCAAGCCTCGTCCGCCCGAGACCACCCTCTCCGCCGAAGCTAGATCAGGACGATCGCTTTTAGCCAGATCCTCGCTCACCCATTCAGTAGGACATTCAGCCTTTGGATCTGTGCCTTCTTCAACGCTTGCAGAGCCTCCTTCTGCTGCACCAGCCGGGAAGGCTGTTCCTCGTACCGTGACAATCTTCGGGCTGTCTTCCGTCTGGACAGTAAGAATGGCATTTCCAGCATAGATCGGTCTCACGAATGTGTCCTCGCCTTGAATATCCGTGATGTCGCTAATCTGCTGCACATCTAGCAGAGCAGAAACGCGTGGCATCAAGTTCTTTCCGAACGCAGAGTGGCCAGCCATCACATGTGTATATCCCCCCTTTTTGATGTTCTCAACGAGTAGAGGAGCCCAGTTCTCTGGCAATCCCTTGTCATATGCCCCATTCTCGACGTAGATAACCTTCTCCAGTCCTTCAACCTTTGCTGCTTCATCTGCCACTGTCTTGACATTTGAACCCGCCACGAAGCCATGTATACTTCCTCCAACTTTCTTTGCTGCGGATATGGAGGCCAATGATGACATGTTAAGCTTGCCATCGCGCTGCTCTAATACTGCCAGAGTGGAGGCAAGTCGTCTGAGCGCATCGCGAGAAAGAGGCCGAATGGCAGGAGTCGAACGTGATTGACACAGACATGTGGCTGCATGCCGGAGCAGGCCATTGCGAAGTGGTGCGACCATTGTGTTGATGTCTGGACAGAGTGCTGCACAGAGATCTCGTCGTTCCTATACAGCGGGTCCAAGCATGGTAGTGTCACTAAAACAAAGCCGACCTCGGCTTAGGAATGGGTTCACCGAGCTGCGTGCGAAATCTGCAAGCGGGACAACAGCATGACCTTCTGTGATTTCGTGCTTCATTTGATGTACTTCAGGTTTTCAGTATTGATGGAATCGAAACAAAAGCTGCATGGCTCATCATGGTAGTACCAAGCCTCCGCTGCGTGTGATCGACTAGATCGCACCGCTTGCCTATAACCCCCCACAACCAAGACCTATCTTCTGGGCGAAAAGTCCTCCACAAGATACGACCGTGCCGGGCATCATTGACTGGACTTTCTGTCGAATAGTGGAAAAGTATCAGTGCCCGAGAGCACCATTGAATGACTTCAGACAGTTCTCACGGTTCCGTAATGCCGGCGAGTGCCTCTTTAATAGGCCGTCTAATTCGTTACGCAGCTCCGTTTTCAGTGACTTCTCCCTGCTGTGCTGCGGAATCGACGTTGTGGTAGTCGAGAATTTCAGAATACCTTGCTCAAAGTCAGTCGGATTCAGTACATCTGAGAGCAATTTTGGCATACATCATGATCTTCCAGGTGTCTACTGGCAAATCAGCATCGTTGAACGACCAGTCGAATTTCTCTTCTGCCTCTGGCTCGTCTGTGGGATCGTGATATGGAGACAGGTATGGATCGGCTAGAGCCTCGCCAGCCTTGACTCGTTTCCGGGGGTCAAAGACAAGCATTCGCTCCAAAAGTTCAATTGCTGCATTCGTCAGCTTTAGCGCTCTCCTCCCCTTCCATTTTGCTCACCTTGCGGATCCGCGTTCTTGAACTTGTTCTTCAATGGTTGCCTTTCACGTTTCGGGAGCGACTGGACGAACCGCAGAGTCTATCGTGTATTCCGTCAGTATGAGAATCTTCCAGGTCAGCGCTTCCTTTTCCTTACATTCTCGCTGCAAATGGTACTAATAACGTCATCTGGCGGAGTGCCCAGCAGTTCCGTGATGATGGAGAATTGGTTGACGTGATCCTTGCCAGGGAAGAGAGGCTTGCCCTCCAGCATTTCGGCGAAAATACAGCCAGCACTCCAAATGTCCACCTCCACGTCGTATTTTTGCCAGGTAAGCATGATTTCCGGGGCTCTGTAGTATCGCGTCGAGACGTAGCCGGTCATTTGGGGGTCTTGGATTCGCGCGAGACCGAAATCACAGATCTTCAGATCGCAATTTTCGTTTACGAGGATATTCGAGGGCTTCAGATCGCGATGGACGACGCCGGCCGAGTGTACGTATTTCAGTCCGCGCTATATAAATCAGCAGCGATTCCCCAATCTCTCGATGGCCACCTTACCAGGATTTGATACAAGAAGTACTGAATGAACTGCTTCTCAAGCGGTCTCGAGGTGAGGAGGCGGTGCAGGTCGGTGCCGAGCAATTCGGTGACAAAATAGCTGTGAGAAGAAAATAAGCCAAGTTTGTAGTCAGGGCAGACTTACCGACGTACATATCCTCCAGTGGAGATATGAAGATGTCGCTCAGGCTGATGACCTAAGGAGCAGTTAGCAGCGTCTCTCTCCTTCAACGCAGCAGGAGATTACGCACATTCTCGTGCTTGAGGTGCTTCAGAAGCTTGAGCTCTCGGTATGTCCGTTTGGAGAGCACCGGCGTGCTGAATGGCTTCATAATCTTCTTTACAGCAACCGCCTGTCCAGTGAGCTGGTCCTTCGCAGAGCTGTGATTCGGTCAGCGTGTTTCCGCGATGGCACCGTCTCTTGGTACACACCAGACCAGCCCGAAGGCGCCCATTCCCACAGGTTGCAGATCCGTGTATCTGTCTGGTGTCAGCGCTCACGTCTGCACCTCGCTCCCATGCAGCACGGGCTCCGCTCCGCTCCGCTCTCTTGCCACGAACCGGCTGGTGATTTCAAAGGTGGTGCCAAATATCTGCGCACGCACAAACTCCGCCATGATGAAGGTGTTGGTATCGCGACCACGCTGATTGTGTATGGATTCTCGTTGAGGTGATGTTTCCAAGGTTAAGCGGCTCTAGGTTTGCGTCGAAGGCAAGCGGTTACCAGTGGGACAGTCGAGATGCCCCGCCGACGCAAGTCGCCGCTGCTCTGAATAGGCGTTGGTGGGCGACGCAATTGTGACGCCCGCGCAATGGGATAGCGATGGATATGTATGCTGCTCGCAAGTCCAGCGCGTTGTCGGTGAAGGTGTTTGCCAGAAGATCCGCGTGGGAGCAAGAGAAGTTGCACGGCTTTGCGAAGTCTAGCGTGCTGGATCGACGATCTCCCGCAGCTTCACAGGCCTTTCTCTGCCCTTGATCGCGCTGCAGTTCCGGACCCGTGCTTCGTTCCTGACTGACTGACTGACTGGCTCAGGTGGAAGTGAAGTACATGTAGGAGGCTTCAGATACAGTGAGAAGATACAAATATGAAACGTTCAGGCAGGGCTCCAAGCCTCCCACTGTCGATGGCCTGCACCTCCGTCATCACTCATCACGGCAACCATAATAATGCCCCGGAGGTTCTGCCGTCGCCGCTAGATTCACGGCTTTCATCACGACTATGCTCGCCCACGTCTGCTGGCCTAATCGCGCAGCTTGCTCCGGTGCCTATTGGGGCTTTGATTTGCTGCACGCTGTATTCGCATTATTGAATGCCTGCTTTCTTCACTCCTCACTAACGCTAGCATGAGTGATGTCACTCTGACCAGGCGTATCAACCCCAAGCAAATGAATCTTGCTGGGTTCAAGAATGAAAAGCGATGAAACGATCGTCTCATGCAACAAAATCTCTGCCGAATGCTATTCCAACCACGCGAGGAAGCAAATTCTGGTCATGCTCAGACGCTGGGCTTTCCCTCAGTCGTGCACGGGTGTTCTAAATTGCTCTTGTATCGCCTGTTCACAGTGCGTCTACCGCTAGGGTTGATGCAGTACTCACGTTTGGAGCCGGCAGACATCCGAAACTATCGCGAAGTGCATACTGACAGGGGCAAGTGTTGGACAGTTGGAGTCCGCCAAGATGCTGGTCATTCGCGAACAACTGTTATGACGATGACACTGTCTGGCAGGCAAGACGGGCTTTGATTAGCAGATGTATGTACACCTCAGAGTGAGAGCGACTAGGCGCGGACCGCTGAATCACAAGTTGCTTTTCGCTGTAATCCTTGCTGCTCAAGGATTTGGGAGATATCCACTTTGACTCCGAAGTGTTGAAACGAACGCTGTACGGAGTTGGGCCTGTACTCTTTATTGACTTAGGGCTTCCAGACCATTAGAGCAGCGGACTATGTTGTCGAACATGATGCCGTGGGCAGATGGGGAGGATCTGCTATCCGGCTTATCTTCACCTAGAGCTGTACGAGCCGATGTCTGCATCCCATCTCAAAGGGATTCCATATCGGACGACCTCCGGCCCGATCTCTCAGGTAGGCATCTGAGGCTTGGAGTATGGAAATACAATGCTACCCGCATTTCGCCTATTTAGTGCCAGATACGTACAGTGTGAGATCTTAAGACGATTACTAGGTAGCATCCAGCCAGCCGGGCTTTCGCACACGGTGACCTCAAATCCTGTTGCCCCAGCGGCGCCGGTGATGTTTCCACACGGACTCGAGAGATGAAGACTACTCCCCTCGACGCTATGAACGGAGGATTCGGCCCTTGATAGAGTTAGTGAGATGTCTCGAGGGAAAAGGAATCACAGTGGAAGTTGTGTTCGTGGCGTGCAAAGATGTGGCTTCTCTTTGAGAGTCGCGAGAGTCTGGTCGGTTGGTTTCAGGCGGAGATTCAGGGTAGGAAGAAATCATGCGTCGAGTTGAATGGCTGTGATACAACGCGGTCGTCGGCGCAGGATCAGCAGCAGCATCATGATCATGATCGCGTGTTGTGTGGCTGGAGAGCGCAACAAGAGTAGTGCTTTGCTACTGTACCGTTCATCCGATCCGATCAAAAACGTGCGGATCTGCATGAAGCGACGTGAGTGGCCAGCCTTTCTCAATGCGCGCAAGCAAGCTCTTTCTCTGCCCGCCCTGCCGCCCACAGCGTCCAGCGTGCTGTGCGGTGCAAAGTTCACTGCTACTCTCCTACCATTAGTCCAGACCTCCTAGCTACCGTTCGCTCGTTTCCCCAGCGTGATTGCAGGAGGCCAGGACCTGTCACCGACTAGCTCCACTCTGCTGTTGCTAGTGCGAACAGTTGCGCATCTCGTCGTCTGTGCTTCGGCGAGCGTCTTGCTCGCTCATCATACACCTGCCATCCGGGAAGCGGCTTACTGCCTACGCCATTCACCTCACCTCGCCTCACACCGGACAATAATCTTTAGCCAGGCGCCGTAACAAGCAAGCCTGCAAACGCTTCGACTCTCTATTGAACATACCACCTGGAGCTGTGCCGGTCTGCTGCTCCGATCGAGCTTGCCGTTGCCATCGCTGCAGCTTCCTGGCGTGTGAGCTTGGCGCTACAGTGCAACACAAAGGAACAGTGTGCTGCAGCATTCCGCACCGACAAAGCAGCTCTGCAAGCAGTCCACCTGCCCAATCCACCACCGGCACTGCATCCTTTCCGCGACCATCCTCGAGCGAGCGACATTGCGACCCATTGGCGCTGGCGTGGCCCCGCCCACGAGACGTAGCGGTTTGGGGAACAGCAGCAGCAGACGCCTGAGCTCGCAGGAGCGACAGGGCACTCCTCAACGCCTGTCGCCATGGGCGCGTGCATGAGCAGCGGCAACAATGAGGATGGTGACCAGAAGAAGCGCAGCCAGATGATCGATCGAACACTGGAGGAAGACTCGAAGAAGCTACGGCGAGAATGCAAGATCCTGCTGCTCGGTAAGCCTGCAAAGATGGACGCCTTCCGGCCGTGAGCGTAGAGTGGAATTGACAATTGACCATAGGTTCCGGAGAGAGTGGGAAGAGTACGATCGTCAAGCAGATGAAGATCATACACCAGAATGGCTACAGCGTCGACGAACTGGCCCTATACCGGCATACTATCTACAAAAATCTGATAGATTGCGCGAAAGCTTTGATAGGAGCCATGCGCCAATTCGAGATCGAGGTCGAGAACCCAGCAAATCGAGAACTGTGCGAGTTCATCATGGAGTATACCGTCAATCCCGATCCGCAACAAGCTCTGGAACCCAAAGTAGGAGACGCAGTCGCAAGTATATGGAAGGATCCATGCATTCAGAAAGTATTCGACCACCAGAACGAGTTCTACCTGATGGATTCGGCTTCTTAGTAGGTCTCCACGCGGGTTGCTCCTTCCCTTCCATTACGAACTAACATGGTCATAGCTTCTTCGACGAAGTAGGACGGATAGCAGCGGCCGACTACATCCCCACCGAGGCAGACGTACTGCGAGCGCGTACGAAGACTACCGGTATATACGAAACGAGATTCCAGATGGGTCAATTGAGCATACACATGTTTGATGTCGGCGGCCAAAGAAGTGAACGCAAAAAGTGGATACACTGCTTCGAGAATGTCACGTCCATCATCTTCTGCGTGGCACTTAGCGAATACGACCAAGTGCTTCTTGAGGAAAGCAGTCAGAACCGCATGATGGAGTCATTGGTTCTATTCGATTCCGTGGTAAACTCGAGATGGTTCATGAGGACATCGATCATCCTCTTCCTGAACAAGGTCGATCTCTTCCGAGCTAAACTTGCGCGGTCGCCTCTCGGGAACTACTTTCCAGATTACTCAGGGGGCAACGACGTCAATCGAGCGGCGAAGTACTTGCTCTGGCGTTTCAATCAAGTGAATCGAGCGCACCTGAACCTTTATCCTCAGTAAGAAACATTTGCCAAGTCATTTGCGTTGTACGTATACTGACAATCACTAGCCTCACGCAAGCGACCGATACATCGAATATCCGGCTCGTTTTCGCAGCTGTGAAAGAGACGATACTGCAGAATGCTCTCAAGGATTCAGGAATCCTCTAATAGAATTTCTCCCGAAATATCACCCGCATCTGTGCACCATTTATGTCCCGAGCTATCTGCCCCTGGAGCGTTACATCATTTGAGGACATGCTACGCTCTCGATATTTTCGACATTTTTCTGGGACATTGCTAGCGGGCGTTTGGGCGACGAGGGCGCTCACCACCACGCCTGTGGGGTCCGAATGCGGCAGAGGCGTCTCTGACTACCTGCAGGGAATGGAATGTGTCTCTGCGCTGTGTTATAATGCATGAAATATTACTGATCCCGCTTCCAGCGGCGAGAAGAATTGGACGGCAGGGTCTGGACTCGTTGGGGCTGTTTCCGATGGACGAGATGGGGGAAAAAGCTGGTCTTTGGCGTGGCATCATCTGCTCGTGCCCACTTTATTTTGAGCTTGGGGTATACTTCATTGTGCTTGTACCGACATCCATACGAACGGACATTGGCCAAATGTTCCTACGAGGCGAGGCGTTCATTCGCTTCCACAGGAGCGACGAGGGGGAAACGAAGAAGTTGGGCCACAAGCTTCATTCGACGTTACGGCTGTATCTTCAAGCCAACAGGGATCGATGGCAGAAGTGACCTGTTGTGTGTGGGACTGTTCTGTGTGCCGCAGCCGCATCTTGCAAGCATAGCGGACGTGGGTTTTGACATGGTCTTTTGGATAGTCACGGATGGTTCTAAGTAGCCCGCGTAATGAGAGAATGCGGAATATTGGACGCACTGTTCTGGCCTCCGTGCCTCGCTAGCATTGCCACGATCACTACCATAATAGATACATAGCACCACCAGGTTCCCATTATGCCGACCTCATGGCGGTTCTTGGGTTTAGTTGTTGGCAGGGGTATGCAAAGCTTAGCGGCGTGGTTGGAAGAAGCCAAGAGCTGTGTCTCCGGGTAAAAGAGAAGGACTCCTCGACACAGCATTGTTTCAATCGCTCCCACGTTGAGCATATCGCCATCGAGCGGCTGCTGGCGTTGCGTGCAATCTCTATCAACGCGTGTTGGTCGGCTTTATATCACTGGCGTTTGTCGTGGCACCCTTGTCCGCGTCGCTGCCCGTCTTGGTTCCACCTGGGGCTTGCATTTGCGTGTCACAAAATCCCACCGCCCCATCGAGACCAGTCTCGTCGAAGGACAAGTGGAACTGCTCGCTGAAGGAGGAGCACATTGATACAGGCAAGTCGAGATCTTTTCAATGTTGACGTTGTTCTCTCTTTCGCAATTGATGGCACCACACAGCACGCGAATCCGGTGCAGCTCACTCCTCCAGCCAAGCCAACATGCTCTCCCCTCGAGATGCTGACAACGGAATCCCGCCCATCACGTCACCATGGCCCGTCGCAGACATCATCTATGTTTCAATCATTGGTCCTGTCATGCTGGCCGCTCTCTTGGAATGGATCCTCTGGCTCCTAGCCTTCTTGTACTGTCTATGGAAGGTCTTCCTGAAGGCGAATGCATGGAGCATTCGCCTGTTATGCCTTGTCAACATGCTCTTCTTTGTCTGCATGCGCTGTATCTTCCTGCCAATCATGCTGGTCACGCTCCCGCTGCCATCCCAGGTTGTTCAATACTTTCCAGCAGACATGGTCAGCATCCTGCAATGGTTCGCCTTCTGGGCCTTTGCAGGCCTTTTGACCATACCCTGGCTCTTCTGTGTCTACCAGCTTGTCACTCACAACGTCGGCAGACAGCGAAAGGTCAAAATTGTCCTGGATGAGTTCACGGCACCTAAAGTCGTCATCGTCATGCCTTGCTACAACGAGGAACCTGATGTTCTACTGCGCACAGTCGACTCGATTGTGGATTGCGAATATCCACCATCGTGCATGCACGTCTTCCTCTCATTCGATGGGGACCAAGAGAATGAGCTTTTTCTCAATACCATCGAAAAGCTCGGCGTTCCATTAACCCTCGAGTCATATCCGAAAAGCATCGATGTCAAGTATCGAAGCTGTCGCATTACCGTCTCTCGATTTCCGCACGGTGGCAAACGAAGCTGTCAAAAGAAGACATTCAAGTTGATCGACAAGATCTACGCGGAATACTTGCGGCGCAACGACGACCTCTTCCTCCTCTTCATCGATTCTGATTGCATTCTCGACACACTATGCATACAAAACTTCATGTATGAAATGGAGCTGAAGCCCGGCAGCAAGCGCACCATGTTAGCCATGACTGGAGTCATAACATCGACGACCGTCAAGCACTCCTTGATCACTGTGCTTCAAGACATGGAGTACATTCATGGCCAACTTTTCGAGCGATCTGTCGAATCATCCTGCGGTGCCGTTACCTGCTTACCCGGAGCTCTGACCATCCTACGCTTTTCAGCTTTCCGGCGAATGGCGAAATATTACTTTGCAGAAAAGGCGGAGCAGTGCGATGATCTCTTCGATTATGGTAAAATGCATCTCGGAGAGGATAGATGGCTGACTCACTTGTTCATGATTGGCGCCCAGGAGAAGTATCAAATTCAGATGAACACCGGAGCCTTCTGCAAGACGGAAGCTGTGCAAACATTCAAGAGCCTCCTCAAACAGCGACGCAGATGGTTTCTTGGCTTTATCACCAATGAGGTTTGCATGCTGACGGATATTCGCCTCTGGAAGCGATATCCGCTGCTGCTTATCATCCGCCTCGCGCAAAACACGATTCGAACTACAGCGCTACTGTTTTTCATCATGGTCATATCGATTTTGAGCACCTCGCAAAAGATCGCAAATCTGCCCGTCGGCTTCATCGCTGTCTCGCTTGGACTCAATTGGGTGCTGATGCTGTATTTTGGAGCCAAGCTCGGGCGGTACAAGATCATGCTCTATCCTCTCATGTTTGTGGTCAATCCGTTCTTCAATTGGCTCTACATGGTTTATGGTATCTTCACTGCTGGGCAGAGGACATGGGGAGGCCCACGAGCAGATGCACAGAAAGCAGACGAGAAGACGTCGCCAGAGCAAGCAGTGACTGAGGCCATCCAGAAAGGAGACGAATTGAACATCGACCCTACGACATTCCGCCCAGGCGCTCAAGCGCAGGTGTCTTTGCTGCCGTCCAGTCGTCTTGAAGGTCGTTTCGCTGCCGCAGAAGAATTGCCGGGTGGCTGGTACAAGCAAATGAATGATTCTGGTGCTCTCCGTGCCGACCTGACTCCTGGCCAGCAAGAAGGCATGGTCTACAATCAAGGTCCACGGCGCGATAGCTCTGAATCTTTCTCATCGACATTCAGCTCTTATAGCACGTTTCCAACGCCGCGACGAGTTGAGAGCATCATCGGACCTGAGATCACCATGTATTACGCACGTCAGGCTGAGCAGAGGCCAGCCGGAGGCGCTTTTTTCGAATCACGACCGAAAGCTAGACCAGCAGTAACGAAAGCCGAACCTGAACCCGGACATGTACGAGAGCAGATAATTCCCCAACCATCGCGGCGATCAGAGTCTGTAGAAAGTGCTCGTTCGGACGCCTCGGATGAATCGATTCCAATGCACTTCGGACCTCGTCAACGTATCCCGGTCCTACCAATCGACCCTCCCAACGTCCACATTCCAACTCGACCAACTGATGTAGACCGAAGCCCATCGCCACCACCACAGCCCACGAGACCAGAACCCGTGCACCAAGCAAATCGTCCCTGGCAAGGAAGCAGTGCATCCCGATCTGCGCGCAGTCCTCTGGCCAGGAAAAGCTATACCAGGCTGGCTCCGCACGATGCTCCCTCGACAGCTGGCACTTCGACAGAGGTGGAGGTGAGAGTGCCGAGGAGAGTATCGACGGACGATGAAGGCGAAGCTGTGACTAGAGGTCGACGCCGGCGCACAAGTATCGGGCCAGATGGGCGACGGAGATTGAGCAAGCAGAGGAAAAGCAGGTCTAGCAGTCGCGCGCCGAAATGATGTTGATGCACAAATCGCAGTGCAACGCACGCAGATCTGCTCGCCATGGCACGCTTTGCTTCGTCGTGGTCTTTTGCAGAATTGGTCACACACGAGAACACTTGGTACATGTAGCCTTACGCAAATCGTTTGCGACACAGATGGGTTGGCTGGCTTTCGTGTTAAAAAAAAACAAAAAACAAAAAACAAACAGTTCACTTTTGAGCTTAAATCTCTGCCCACTTCACCTAACCCTTGCTCCTTTCGCAATCAGTTTCAGATCTCAAAATCCATCCCACTTCCACTTCCACATACCATCCCTCTCCCTCCCCCTCCTCGTTATCAATTCCCCTCACCTCTCCACCTTCACCCTCCCACCCTTCTTCTTCTCATTCTCATTCTTCCTCCTCAAAGCCTTCAATCTCAACTTAATTTCGATTTTCTGAAGCTCAAGCTCCAGATCTTCTTCATCTTCATCGGTTTCAAAATTCGAGACTCGTGGTTTGGGAGCGGGATTGGGATTGGGGAGTTCTTGCTGGATTTCGATTTCGGTTAAGTCGATGATTGGGGTTGGGAGGATTGTGGGTTGATAGGGGGTGGGGTGGTTGGGAGAGATGAGGAGTTCAGGCGTGGTGGGGGGAACTTCGACTTCTTCTGGTGCCGATGATAATATGTCCTTTTTTGCCGGTTCTTCGTCCTGCTGAATGGAGTCTGTGGCTTTGCGTTTGCGACGGAGAGGGGTTGGTGAGAGCTTTGAGTCGGGAGGATCGGTAGTATCACAGCTTTTAGCAGCGAGGTGTAGGGCTGGTTGAGAGTGCGTGGGGTTCGCAGCAGTTTGTTGTACCGCAGTGTCGTTGGGTGCATCGACTTCCATTTCTTCGGCTTGCCTGGCTCCTGCTCTAGATGTCGCTTCTGGCTCTTCGTTTGAGATTGGAGGCGCTGTGTGGTTCGAATTCTGGGGCTCTTGAGGCTCTTCATCACCAACGGGGCGTGCCTTTGCAGGTGTCTCGAAGTCGAATCCTGAAAGCATGTCAGTTTCGCGGAATCATGCTTTCAGTTCTGTAATTACTTACCCTTTGGTCGGCACTGGAACTCAAAGCACAGGGTTTCGCCATTTTTGCCCCGTATCCGGTGGAAACTCTCATTATCACTACAGCCATAGAGGTGTCCACGAGTCAAGCACACCCTGATGCAGCCCCGGCCTGCAGCCTTTGCAGCCTCTGACGTGTTCAAGTGCTCGGTCGCTTTACGAAGTGGTAGCGGCAAGATAGTTCCGATCTCCCATTTGCCCACAACCTCTTTGCTCTCGATAGTGAAAGCAGACTCCTTTGGCCTCTGGTATCCTTGGTCGACGAAGATTTGAACCTGTAGAACAGAAGCGGTGAACATTTTGTAGCTCCATCCAAAATTACCGACTAGTGTGACCTTTTCTTCCCGCTTTTCCTTGATCTTGGCAAAGGCAACGGAAGAGAATGTGCCTGTGTGCATGTGCCTTGTGGAATCGAGCCGTCGATAGTATGGCCCTTGATCCTTGTCAAGCACGACTTCGTACTCTCGATAGCGCTTGTTACCGCGCTCGAGAAAGATTTCGACACCTTGATCGTGAAGCATATTGCATGCAATCTGGTGTGGCTGGTTAAACAAATGTTGTTCAAGAGTGCAGTGGGCACGTGTCTGGAAACTGCTTTAAATATCAGTGTAAGGTCAAGGTGACCTTTGTAAAACAGAGTATGTAAAGTGAAAGTAACAGAATGCACCGGAGTGAAGACTGATGCGAATGTAAAAGTGACCTGTTCTAGCAGGTAATACGTATTCCATTTCCACAGCGCATTCTGTACACATCTGATCTATTGGCCTATGAAAGAGTCAGTAAGGACTGCGTCCAAAACCACAAGCTGGGACTTACCGAAGATACTATGAGCATATATCTGCCTCTTCCGCAGATGCACGGGTGTCTCGTTCTCTGGTGCACCCGGAATGGTTTTCTCCAGCTTCAAATTCTCAAACACGCACTTGTTCAGGCCCCTCTCCATTTTCCGGCATTGCCATAGTTGCTGGTTGTTGTTATCCAAACATTGCCAGTGCTTCCTGAACTCCTCGAGACAGCTCTTGTTGATGTCCTCCAGCACACTGGCAGCACATCGTGTGACCTTCCTTCCCTCCTTCAAGCACTCGGTCTCTCCCTTTCCATTTGCCTCGGTCTTGCAGAGCATGAAGTCGTCATTGTAAGGTTTGCATCGTGCGCCGATGAAGAAGGAGGCCGAGAGCAGAGGAGCAGAGGATGCGCCAACTTCTGCGACTTTGGGGATGTCGTCGGGGAGGGGAGTGGTGTCTATGAGGACTTGTTGATTGAATCTTGGAGGACATGTCAGTATTGCAGTATTCGCGTAAGTGTCTGCTTCTTTACCTGGGCTGCCGGGCGGACATGGTGGCGATATTTTCTTGTCAATGCCTGTCAACGCGCTCGTCTATTTCCACCTCAGGCTCAGAGATGTCGTCGAGCTTGAGAGTTCCGGGAGGCTTAGTCATGCTGCAAGGAACAAGCCGATTGGGCGAGGTTCACTTGCAGAGGGTAGGAGCTTCGCGCGTCTTTCAAGCGCGACCGAGACAGCAGAAACATCGTATTGAACCACACAAACTTCACCTGCGACTCAACAATAACACCACTCTCACTCCCACCATTGCGCATCGCTCGGTAGCATCTTGATCGCTTCTGCGCACTGGCTTTTGATCGCGATTGACTTTCCGCGCATGAGCGACTCGATGAGTTAGAGCTCGATAACAGCAACAATTCAACGCCAGCATGAGCAGCATATTCGGGAACACGAATACTGGCGGGAGCGGTGGAGGGCTCTTCGGATCAAGCACCCATCAAAACACAAGCGGAGGTGGCCTGTTTGGCTCGAACAACAACCAGCAGAGCAATTCAGGTGGAGGTGGATTGTTTGGATCAGGAAACAATCAGGCCAGCGGCACGACTGGAGGAGGAGGACTGTTTGGCTCTACAAACAATCAATCTAGCAATACCGGAGGTGGAGGTCTTTTCGGATCGACAAATAATCAGACGAGCAACACAAGCGGCGGAGGCTTGTTCGGATCGAATGCGCAATCCAGCACCAATACTGGCGGTGGAGGGCTTTTTGGCTCGAATGCGCAGTCTAACACGAACACTGGCGGCGGAGGACTTTTTGGCTCGAATGTGCAGTCTAACACGAACACTGGCGGAGGCGGACTGTTCGGTGCGAGCACAGCCCAGAACCAGAATGCAGGCGCATCGTCACTGTTTGGCAGCACGAACCAGAATCAGAACCAGACAAATAACAATGCTGGATCATTGCTCTTCGGCGGAAGCACCACTCAACAGCAACAACAGCCGCAGCAACAGCAAGCACTCAAGGCATCTTCCTTCAACCCACAGACAGTCACCGTTGGCAATCTAGGCCACACCATGACCCACGCTCAACTGCAGCGACTCCAATTCAGCGGCGCATCGACAGTGCCGAACGAGAAGAGCATCACAAAGCAGATCCAAACGGTGAAAGACAAATGGAATCCTGCACTGCCAAAGCAACTCGATCCGAACGCGCCAAACAATATTCCGACTACAATTCTCAAGACGTACTTCTACAATGCCGCTGCAAAAGAGTATGCCCCATTCTTCTACCCAGATGAGAGCAGAGGCGAGGATGAGAAGAGCTGGGAAGAAGCACTCAGCCAACGACCAGAGCTACCCAAAATTGATGGCCAGGAAGTAACTACGCTGACCTATGTCCCCGTCCTTTGCGTCGGCTTTCAAGCACTAGGCCAACGAGTCGAAACGCAAGCAAAAATCATCGAACAAATGCGCATCCGTCTCCACGAAATGAACAACTCATTATCAGCAGTCATGGCCGCCCACCAACAACGCATCACAGTAAAAATCAACAACGTCAAGAAGCAACACCAAGTCCTCTCCCAACGCTGTCTCCGACTCGCAGTCAAGGTCCAAGTTCTTCGCAATCGAGGCTACGCGCTCGACCCACAGGAAGAGAGTTTGAGAAGAACTCTCCTCGATCTAGAAAAGCAAGTCACGGATCCAGGCTTCATCGGCAGGGAAGACGAGATCTGGGCACGGATGGTCGCACTTCGAGAGCGAGCTCGTTGGTTAGAAGAGGAAGGAAAGCGAGTCGCAGGACAAATCCAAGACCAGAGTCGGAATTCTGGTAAGCAGGGTGGTGTTTCAGAGGAAGTCCTGGCGAAGACGAGGAAGATTTTGAAGGATTATGATGGGCAGTTGAGGCATTTGGTCAAGGAGATGGAAGATGTGAAGGAGGAATATGCGGCGTGGGAGGAGACGCAGAGAAGTCGGTAAGGCCATGCACGGCATAGATCTTCTTCGAGCAGCTGTTAGATTCTTGTTGCATGGCGAGGGATGCCGTGGTCTGGGCATCAAAGGGAAAGCAAAGCGAGGCGTTCAGGGGACTTACTAAAAGGATGAGAAGTTGCGCATCAGATAGTCCTGAAGAAACTGCTGTTTGGCTTATCGCTGATGAGCCATGCAAACTCCAATTTTGATATTCTGTTGAACTTCTCAAAACCTCTAATGATATTGATACAAACGCTCCCGCTAATGCTCCCACTATCACAGCAGAAGAAGTTTCGCAAACTTCTCTTCCCAGTCGTCAAGAAGCAGGCCTCAATCAACAGAACGAATCTATCGCTTCCCCGACTTGGCCGCACTCCTGGCTGCGATTTTTCTGAAAGTCTCGTCGTTAGCTCCCAGCTTTCTGGAAGACACGCCCTGAGCATTACTCAAGTTGTTCACAGGCGCGATCGTGTACGTTCCGACGCCTCCTTCCACTCGTGCTCGGTTGGTAGGACCAGGCTGGGCGAGGACCTTGCGTCTCTTTTCCGCCAACATGGCAGCACGGTCAGCTTGAGAAGCTCCGCCGCGCTGAGATTGTGCAGCTGCGACAGGATCGTACTGCTTGGTCTCAATCGGACGACCTCGAGCACTGTCTTTCTTGCCGAGGATCGTGGATGTCCAGCTCTGGACTAAATGTTCGGCCTGGCGTTTGATATCTGGTTGGGCTTGAGAGGATTTGGTGTAGAAGAGGACAAGCTTGCCAATTGAGCTGGCAATCAGAGCGTCTTTACCAATGTTCAAGTTCGTGAGAATCTTGAAGAGTTCACGCTGGATTTGGATATTTGGCAAGGCTGCATCCTGATCTGCTGGCTCAAGCATGAAGCGAACAGCCTCCAGGATATTAATATCGGGATCGACGAGCTGAGACTGAATGGTGTTGCGATTCATGAGTGCCACGACTTCGGGCAGAATCTTCAGCTTGTGAGTTGCGATCTTGCCGTTGTTGCGGTCGCGATTATCCTCTTCGCAGGCCTTCGCCATACGGGCACGCATCTCATTGACTTCCTGGTCTGCGCGCTCCTCGATATCCTGCGCGGCTTTGCGCCGTGAAACGCGATGTGTCTTGACGGCGTCATCCATCTTGCGCTCCAGAGCACGACGGCGGCGCTCCTCTGGTGTAAGATCGTCCTCGTTGATAGGCGTCCTCTCTCTCCTGCTTGACTTGATCGGTTGCCCATCTGATCCGATTTTGCTCTTGCGCACGCGCTTGCCATCGATCTCCTCGCCGCCAGAAAAGTCGTCGTCGCCGCCCCTCTTCTTACGACTGGGCTTCTCACGCTTCTTCTCCTTCTTTTTCTTCTTGCGTTCGCGCTCAGCTTCCTCTTCTGCCGTTCGCTTACGCTTGTGCACGCCCAGTAGATTCACGTTCGATTCGTCGACCTGTTGCGGCTTGTCTGGAATAGCAAGAGCGGAAGGGTCGAAGTCTTCGAACTCTGCTTCATCCAAATCTTCTAGCTCTGACTCCTCGTCCTCGTTTTCGATGCCTGCTTCATCGGTGCTGGCCGGATTACCGTTCTCCAACTTCTCGTCCTCGCCACGTGCTGCGCTCTCTTCTCCGTTGGCGCCATTTCCGATCGGTGCAGCATCATCTTCTTGGGTCTCCATGTCTGTGTACGGCGCGGCCATGGGCGGTGTGCCTCCAGCACCGTTCTCCTCCTCGACGTCGGGCCTCAAAGGATCCCGAGGGTCATTGTTGCCCTGAGGCTCTACCTCGTTGCTGTCGATTGTTGGCGTCTCTGGTTGCGCCAGGTCCTCCATCTCGGCGGCAAACTGTGGATAGTTTGTGTGGTCTACAAAGCGTCCGATCAAAGGTCCGAATGTGGTGGGTGATATTGCTTGTTCGATATTGGTGCGGAGGGTTGATGTCGAAGTTGAAGTTGAAAGCGGCCGACGCGATCGCCAGTTGCGGAAACGCCAAGCCCAAGCCGACCTGGGCTCCTGCTTTGACGTAGGCTCGCGAAAGATTCACTTCACTTCACCTCACAAGAAATCTTCACGTGCGACAAATCAAACCTCACATCTCTTGCCCCCGTTCTAGCAAAACTGCCATCATGTTCGGCGGTCGTAAGTTATGCATTCAATCTATCCAGGCATAATGGACTGACCACAACTCCAGCACCTCCTCTGCCTTCGGCCGAAGAGCTCCAGGCCCAAGAACAAGCAGCTAAGGCGACCATGCTCCAAATGGTCAGCGCTTGTGTCGTTCTGTACTTCTGTGAGAATAAGAAATTCTGCGGCGCATCAAGCATTTGACTGATAGACCTCAGCGCCTTTCGCAGTCGATGCGGTGAAGAAACTCCTATAAGCTCATCGCGCTTGGAAAGGACGAGAAAGAGTTGTATAATACTATCGAGTGCAGGGATATGTGCATAGCAAGGCGTTAAGGAAGACACAATCAGGTGGTCGTCTGTAGATGAAGATACTCGTCTCTCCGTAAGAGTGGAACTCAAAGGCACGTGCAAATACTGCAGGATATTATCATTGTTCGAAAAGGTGGAAAGCACTTTTATTATTCACCTCGTCACCAAAATCTTTGCGAAGAGGATACCTCGGATAATATGGGACTAGCGGTTATGAACTGCTATCGATTTCGGGTGAGATGAACAGAAAGCGCCGCTCACCTCGTACTACAAGAGGAAGATGGGCAGAAAGCAAAGGTCAATCCAGAGCATGATTTGAGCAAATTGACACAATGCAAGCTTTTTGCAGGCCCCGTTACTCGCGCCAGGACACCGGAAATGTAAGTTGACCAGGATCACGAAGACGGCTTCACTCCTTCAACTTTCCACAGCACGCATCCGTTGCCTGCGTTCTCGCTCAGATATCCAATGTCGCTGGAAGAACAACTCCGGGCCACTGCATTGAGCTTCCGCTCGCATTCAGATCCGCCGACCGCAAACGATTGCTTGTCCTTACAGCCAGCCTGGTACCCAAAGTGGCCCCATCGAACTTCCAGCTTAAAAGAGCTGCCATTACCTCCTGCTGCCTGGTTCTCGTACGGCGTTCCATGGCCTAGAATGAGTCAGCTTCGGAGCTCCTAAGAACTTTATTCGACATCTTCACCTGGCTGCTGATAGAAGTGGCGATCGGGGTCATAGTTTGTTTTAAGAAAGAGGTGGGGCTGAGAGCAGAACTTCTTGATCGCATCGGCGACACCATCGCTCTGCAGAATCTTGTGGGTGCTTTCGGCGCCGCAGAGAACTTTCTCGTTCTGTTCTGCTTGTGCGACAACTAGCTCATTGGCGACAGTCAAGCTGATGATGAAAGTGAGCAGCGCCCGGATGATCACATTCGCGAGCATGATGTCGGAACTGTGGTGTCAGAGCGTCGGACTGCAGAATTGAAAAGGTCGTCAATATGTTGCATGTGCTTCACGTGGAATATTGACAAGCCAGCTCACTTTGGCCCGTGCACTGGCCACGACTCCCTGGACGAGCCTGTACGACACTGAGATGGAACGTACTCCTTACTGCTATACATCATTAAAGATGGAATATGCCTACTATAAATGGAGCTCTTTGCAAGAATGTTGCTCACTGCAGGCGCGGCATCTTACTGGTGACCCGGACTCCCGGAAGCTGCAGGGAGCATATTTCTGTAACAGGTGTCACGTGTGTTGCAGGCGATCTGGCACTACCCACGACGGCCCAGTACGTATCAAGATGTCAGAACCGGCTTTTCTAGGCTCGCAAGCCAACGTCTCGTGGGCCGAGAACCAGACAGGCAGAGCCACGCGGCAATAACCTAGAACTATTCTCGCAGACTCGCGCCAAGAGAGTACAGGGATGCTGCAGCGAACTACCAAATTCGATCTTCCACAGCATGTACGATATCGAACTTCAATTGCCGGGCCCAGAGTACAGCGGCTCTCGCGTGTTGCTAATGCTCTTGCTTCCGCAAAGGGAACAGTAGCAAAGCTGGTGGTCAAGTTGAAGGATGTTTAGAGCTGGGCGTCTCCATCAACATTGGGGCATAATGACCCGCTGCAGGTGTTATCCTTCTCTATTAGTTCGCCATATGCTTGGGTACTGAATGTCTGTCAAGACATATCGAACCGATGAATGGGCTTCGTCGGCTTCTGCCTCAAGCACGGCGGAATTTCAACCTTCTCTTTCCTCGTTATAATGTGGCTGGTCGTCCAACAACTCGGTCAAGGTCGCATGTCAGGTCGCTGACATGACGAACGAGCATTCAGAAGTGAGTCTGATCATATCTCAGCAAATTGACTTCTTGCCGAAGGCGGTGACAGTTATGCTTGAATTCGAACGAGGCTTCCCAAGCCACAGCACCGAGCTACCATACTCATCGGATCCATATTCCTCTGGCAGCAGGTCGTCTATCGAAAGAGTTTCCAGCCTTTCAAGCAACGACTCTCGCATACACAATAATAGATATAAGCTGCTTCTGCAGTGGAGGTCCAGAGCGGAGGTGGCGTAGTGGCGCTCATATCAAAATTCCTCAACCGGACAAGTCGAACATTGCCGCTGTCATGGTGCTGAGACGTACCGTATAGGTCGCCAACTGCCCCGACAAGAGCAGAATCCGCATCTGTTCAGGGCGATCTTCAGGCCATGTGTATTTGGACTATTTCTACCTTTTCGGAGGTCTTGATGACACGCCTGCTCGGACCGTCGACTGATGCGCAATTCAATACTTTTCCACCAATGCATACCGACTCAGATTAGTTCTGGAGTCTGCAGCTAATAAGCGTTAGGCCTAGCACGTCTACGTCACGTGCAGCGCACGCGGTCTGGCCGAGGGGTTGATTCATTCTCTAACGCTAGACAGGTTCTGGCGACTTCCTTGGCAGACGCGTCCCTAAGCAGCAACATCATCAAGCCACACTCCTGAGCAGAGTCGAAAACACGGCGCTCGAGGCTGAGGTACTTTCGGCATGAGCGAGACCTGTCTCCGTTCCTGAAGTGAAGCATCGCGTCTGGAGATGTCGTGGTTTCCTCTGCGAGACTCTAGGATTAACGCGAGGGCAAGATCCGATTTCGACGCGAGAATGAAAGACATGAATTCAATATTGCCGCAATCTGAAGATCTGGATCTGAACAGATGCCATCCCGATCGACCTTCTAGAAGGCTGTGCCAAGATCAAATCTTACAAACGCATCCACATCCGGCAGACTTCTCTGTTCTGGCTTGCTTTGGCGCCATCTTGCACCGTTTCAGCATAGGCTTATAGCCAAACCGTTGGCTCAGCTCGCCACGACTCTTCTTGCCGCGGGCGGGCACCTCTCGCTGCTGGCATGTATAGGAGGAAGTCATCAAGCATATATCTATGCTAAGACGATACCATGAGATCCAAACACGCTTGGTGTGCTCACTGGGACGCGGGTTGAACTCACATTCTCTATCCTACTTTCGTTTACAGCATCACGTTCTTTGCATCAATACCTACAGTCTTTCTTTACAATTCAACACCGTTTTCGTTATGAAAGTCCACGCTCTTTTCGCGCTTGCTGCGTCGATTGCGACAGCGAAAGCATCTGCAGGCCCACAATGCTACACCAAGCTTGCTTCGACTTCTCCAAGCGCTGGCTGCAAGACTACTTCCACTACCGTCTACACCCCGTGCACTAAGACCAAGACCACATACAAGACAAAGACCATCCTCCCGAGCCCAGTTACTATCACCTCAACGAAGCAGGTGGTCAAGCAATACACAGCACCTCCAAGCTATCACACTGCCACCATTACGCTCACAAGTAAGTGTTTTCCATGATGCAGCTCGTTATCTTTTCGACGATTGTTGGGTGGAGCTATAGCCAAACATCGTTTTGAAAGCTCTTCTTCATCGAGATTTGTGCTGACCGTTGTATCATCCGCTCTCAGAGACAGACACCGCTACAACGACGTCTAGGGTAAGTGCATATCTATCATGGGCAATTGCGATCAACCCACGTACTAACTAACCTTGCTCAGATCACCACAACTGCATACGAAACATCCACATTGTCTCTCGTGTCAACCACCACAAGTGCGACGCCAAATGGATTTTCTCCGATCATGACCAGTTTCCCCGGTTCATCATACGCGAGCCAACAGCCGAATGAGAAGCGAGATTCGATTCGTGGAGCTCGAGGAGGCAAAGCGTATAAGAAACCGAAGAAAGGCGGCCTTAAGAAAGGCAAGATCCCAAACAAAGTAACCTGCGTGCACCACAAACCAAACAGCGAATGCAAAGTCAAGAGCGTCACGGCGACCAAGACAACCGGTTGCAAAGGCTCGACGATTACTGTAACGGCAACTTCTACGAAGACGGACTATACCTACCCAGAAGCCACAACGACTATTACGACTCTTGACACCATCACTTCCACTACTACTGCTTTCGTCACCGATTCCACTACTACCACTGCTACCGTGACGACATACACCAGCACCACGACTGAGTATGCCGCTTGCGCGACCAATAACTTCGCGAACCTCTACCAGGGACAAGGCTTTTCCAACGCCGTCCCCGTTGTCCCCGACCTCTCGCAAGATGGAGATATCCTGTCCGTTGATAATGCATACGAGTAAGTTCCACGCAAGCCAAGCTTCTATTTTCTGTGTCATTTGTTAACAAGTTTTGCTTTGACAGCTGCTGTGTCGCCGCATGGACCGAGCCCAGCGAGGGAAAAGTTCCGATTTGGGGGTTCGAGGCTGGGACTTGTTTTGTTCCTTACGGATCTAGCGATGCTGCGACAGGTTCTTCTGCACAATGGAATGCTGTCTTGAATGGAGCCGGTGCGGACTTTATTCTTGGAAATGGACCTGTAGGTCAAGTCGTCGGAGCGGTGCCTGCTGGGTCGTAGGGCGTAAATAATGGCTGTATCTGAGAAAGGAATGCCGTATAATGTAATTAATGTATATATGAGAGGACACACAAGGGATGACTTTCTGGTCTGCTCACTAGCATGATTTGTCGCTTTCTTGTGAGACATGATTCGATTCTCTCTACTGTATTTCTCGTTTGTGGTTGGTAAGAGGACAGCAGTGCCGTGTAGTGAACTTGAAATCAGGTGTGACCTGTCACGAATACAGAGATCGGCACCAAGCATAACGGATGGCCACAGCATTGCACGAGCAGAGCGTTTTCTCCCTTGCTTACCGTGTTGCACACAACACATGTACAACCACTTCGGGCTCAACTGCACAAGCATTGCTCGTGCACGCACGTTGCTGAAGTGTATACAGTAGCTGCAAACAGGAACTCACAGCTGCTGCTGACTTTCTTTGCCGTGAATTTCGCACGCGCCAAGGACGGTGTTCCGTGTGAACTGCATAGAATACCGGAAGCCGCTCTACGGAAGAATCCTTTATTCTAACTTTCCTTTGCTTATCAGCAAATTCGGTGCACATCTTTTGCTGGTCAAGTTACATCTCCACGGCGAACGGCATGTCGTAGAACAGAGCAGAGACCTCGAAAGACACTGCTTCCATCTCCATCCCGACATGCAACAACCACATGCTCCCATTCATGCAACTGCGGACCACATATAGAGTGGCAAACGATTTGACTTTCGTCTAAGTGCAGTAGTCAAGCGGCACTTGACATCTGCAGACGCACAGCAGCACTTCTCCTCACTTGCGCGCTCCAAACACCATCATGCATGATGCGTGGTCCTGACATTGCAGCCAAACCAAGTCGTGGACTATTTATTGACTTCCGCAGAGGCCGCGTAAAACGCGATAGCCGCCAAAATTGCTGAACTCGAGAGCGCTGTCGTGTCTGTGCTTTTTAGAAATTGGCCCCTAAATCAATCGTTGCCAGGTTCTGCCAAAAGCTTGAATTGCGCGAACTGCGCGTTAGCCGCTGGAGTGTTGAACAACCTGGTTGTTATAGGGAATTGCTAAATGTCCATTGCCGCCAGGCTATATGTCCATTGCCTCGGATTCTACTGCCTGTTCTAGTTAGCGAGGGCTCTGACCACCTTGCCATACAAAACGCTATACAAAATCGATTACGGAGGTCCGTATTAGAACTCCGGGTAGGTAGTAACGATTATAGTTAAAGAGGAAGGGTTTCTAAAGCCCGCTAGATATATAGATTTAAAGAGACTATCTTCTAGTACTAATTTCCTTAACCTATAAAGTAATACTGTCTTAAGTAAAGCCGTAGCTCTTACTACGGTATAAACTAACTGCCTTATAGTCTCGCTAGTAGTATAGTTACTAGTAGTAGTAGAGCTATAGTAATAAGCCTAAAGGTTAAGTAAATAGCCTATTAGTTAGAAGGCGGCGGAGCGTCGTTTTAGCGCTATCTCTATATAGCAAGAGCGGCCCTTTATATACTAGCTAGATCGTTACTAATAAACTCGTATCGCTTAATAGGCGTATAGACTCGTAGTTGTTATATAGAGGCTCTTATACGGCCTCGTCCTCGTCTATATCTATAAGTAGATTAAGAAGCTGCATTATTAAGGTTATTAAGCTCGAAGGCCGAAGGAATATAGCTATTCGCGCGGCCTATACGACCTCTACGGCTACGACTATTACTACGACTATTGCTACGACTATTGCTACGACTACGGTTACTACGGTTAGAAGGTAGAGTTGTCGGTTTACGCGTTTAAATAACCTCTATAAGGCGGCGGAGTAGTATAGCGGACTTATCGATATGCTAGTGCCTATTAAAGTCTTCCGGTTTAAAGTAGAAGTAGCTAGTTTCTATAAGCTAATCCCTTACTATATACTTGCATATAATTCCCTAAGCGCACTTATAGCGGCCTATATAGTGCGAGCGTATAGTATTAGGGTCCTTAATAAGCTCTTTAACCTCCTACTAAGTATACGAGTACTGCTTGCTAGCTAATTATAGTGCCTAGCGGTAAATAATGCCGTTATACTACGAATACTCGGGCTTCTTTATAGAGAGAGGTATCGCGAGCCTGTCCTAGCTAATCCGCTCCTAGATTTAGTTAGCTTTAATCTTAAACTACGGCTCCTAGTAATTTATTAGCAAAGCTAATTACTAGTCGAAGCCGTAGGAACGTACGAGCTTAAGGAATAGGGTAAGGATGTTATAGCGCCTCCTAGCAAGCTATTTCTTTATCGTCGAGTAAGCGCCTTCTACCCTCGAGGTAACTCGTTGTCTATAGAATAGAAAGACCTTCTACTAAAAGCAGTAGGCAATCTTCTTCTTATAAGACTAGTATTTACGGCAAATATAGGTCTAGAGGGACCTATAATAAGGGTTCTTATAGTTAGAAAGATAGCCGTTCTTCTCCTCGAATTTAGCTACTGTCTCTGCTTCTATATAGGCTTTAAAGGCGGCTATAAACGACTCGCAGTCTAGTTAATCTTCGTAGCCTATAAAGGCACCTATTTCTTCGTCGTATTTGGCTTGTTATAGTATTAACTTCCGTGCCTATAACTGCACATTCTTAAAGATATGCTAGGTACAGATTAAAGCCGGCGTTGTCGAGTATACCTTGTCTAAAGCGTTTATATAACTACGGTCTCGATTAGTAACCTATAAGCCTAGTTATAGCAAATCGTATGCGTTGCTAATCCGCTTAAAGGCCTCGAATACCTACGTAAAGCTAGCCTCATCTTCTTTGCCTATAATATAGTATCTAAGCGGTATTGTAGTGCCGCCGCCGGTGCCGCTAGAGATATTAAAAAGCGGTCGATTATAGTAGTTAGTCTTATAGGTATTGTCGCAAATAAGGTACTCTAGATATAGGGCGTAGAACTTAGCTATTTGTAGGTTAATAACTATTAACTTGTTAATCCTGCCCTCGTTTCTAGGTGTCCTATCGGTATTATATTCGTACTAGTATCTAAGCCGATCTAGGTACCGGAATAGTGTATCTATAGCGCTTAAATTACCCTGTTAGACCTTCCGATATATTATCCTCGCATTATTAATATCCTTAATAGTCTAAATGCCTATAGATAGGTCGTTATTAGCAAGAGGGTTAGGTTTAATAGTAAGAACATAAAGGAAAGCTACTCGGCCGAAGCTCGGCTAGGTAACTTAATATTCAATCGACAATACTTATACTTCTTATCCTTCTTCTATAACCGCGCTATCGTTATATAAGCGCTCGTATTGCAATCCAAGTCCTTACGGATTATCTTTATTATCTTCGAGCTCGCCGCCTTGCGTTAGCGGCGACAGTAAACCGCAAAATCGCTACTATTAGCATTAGTATGCCCTCCTTTATAGGTATACTAATTCCTCGACTTATCGACCCTCTAGCGACTATAAGGGTCGTCGTAATTATACGCTCTTAGCGTAAGCGACTATAGATACGCTTGCTTAGTAGATATCGCATTTAGACGGCGGCTAGTGCTATTAGTACGAGCCTTACTTCTACTATTAGAACTACTGCAAATATAGTACTTGCTAATAAAGGCGTTTAGGCCTTTAAACTCTATACGCTTCGAGACGTTGCTACCTCGCATTATTATAGCGTAACTATAGCTCTAAGCCTACGCGTTTGCCTCTTTAAAAGCAGCCTCTATCGATCGATATAACTCTCGCGGAGGGTCCGCTATCTATTCGCCTTTATCGTTAACTCCGCCTTTACTATTACCTTTATCGTTAACTCCGCCTTTACTATTACCTTTATTATCGCTTTCGCCTTCTTCGACGCCTGCGGCTAGTCCTTCTACCGTCTCTTTATTACTAAATGCCTTATTAATCTCTCTCGCTAACTAAGACTAGCTCTCTTCCGTCTCCGCTATAGCCTCCTTATCTGCCTCGATTTTAGCTAATTCGTCCTTATTTAGACCCTCGAGGTCGGCTTTATTAAATCCGCTATCCCTAGGCGTCTCTTTACTACTATAAGTACTCTCTTAATCGATATCTTAGAAGAAATCGCCGGCTTGGCGATCTCCGGGTCTATTACCGAAGTATTAGCCTTATAAGAGGTAAAAGGAGGCCTTATAATTAGTCTAAGAAGAAGAAGCTATAATAACGCCTTATTTAGTACTATACCGCTGTTTTAATGGCTTTAGTATGCTTCGAAATCTACGAAATCTATAAAGTTACGCGCTAGAGACGCGTCACGCGTTCCCGGCTAAAGCCGCAGGCTCTACTATGTCTATACTATAAAGAGCGCTATACCCGGGACGGAAAACCCCTTAGGTAGCAATAGATATATAGCCTAGCGGCAATAGACATTTAGCAATTCCCGTTGTTATATAGCTGAAATAGGCTCGCCTATAGAACCGTACGGCTAATTTGTATCGCCTCGAAAGAGCAATATATAAGCATAGTTTTATTAGATTAATTTAGGAATCCCTATTAGATACTAGCGGTATATTGCTATAGTAGGTAATAAGGCAGAAGGGTTCGTCTTTGACGAGCGAAAGAGGATTGTAGAAATGTCGTAACGGACTAGAATGTCCTAACTAGGGGTCGGCCGACCTATAGTCGCTCGTACGCATACGACTATTAATAACTTACTAAATAGTGCGATTATTATTAAGTCGCAAGGCATAACTCTTAGGCATTAACCTATATAGATTTTGCAGTAGAATTTAGTGTAGAATAGTATAGACCTATGCTAACAAATCTTAAATATCTACCCTTCTAAAAGCAGTCTCTAGCTCCGCCTCTTCTACGTATTCGTTATAGGCAGGCAGATTGCTATTCAAACTGTCGCTTATAGCCTTATAGACTGCGCTTTGTAATAGCACTATAGCATTAGCTACTGCGGCGGCTTCTTCTTTATCTATTGTCTTGTTCTGTTTAGCTATAAACGTATTACCTACTAGGGCAGTAGTACGCTTCCGTTTCTTAGTAGATAGATCTAGCTCCTTCCGAAGGACTCGACAGTTAAAGTAGATAAAGATTAGCTAGTTAAGTCGCTCTATTATAAGCCGAGAACGAAGCCTAGTCTATATTAGCTTAAGGGCTAAGAACGTCCGCTCGGCGGTAATAGTATTAGCAGTAGTTTAACAAAGCCGCAAGGCATAGTCCGATAGCAAAGGTAAGGCAGTAGCTCTATAGCTCTAGAAGAGCTTTATATTAGTGCTATAGCGTAACTAGCACTCGTTAGAAGTAATAAAGGCGTCTCGCTAGTAGATATAGTCGTAGAAGTCCGACTTAATCGATAGCTGCTTATCTACTTCTAAGGTTGTTAAGCGCAAGGCGTTAAGGATAATCGCTTACTTAGTAGGTAATAGTCTAGCGCCTTAACTAACTATAGAAGGGTTAAGATAATAGGCCGCCTAATAGTGCTTATTTACCTATCGTAAGAAGCGCTCTTGCTAGCCTATAATCGTAGCTACTAACTTCTGTATATTAAGGACAAATTAGACACCTTCGAGTAGCTCTCGAATTAGTAGTAGACTCGTATTAATCTGCTTCTCGAGGGTAGCTTTATAGCTAAACTACCGAGGTATTACTTTGTCTATTGTAGCCTCCTTTAACTAAGATAGAATAAGCTAATTATTTAGCGGCTCTAGTAGGTCGACAGCGGCTTAAAGATTAGTCTAGAATATATAGTCTATTATTATAGACCGCGCCTCGAAGTCTAGTATAGAAGCACGGTTACGGACTAGCTCCTAAAGGGTATACTTACTACGTAGAAGTAACTTAAATAAGGCAATTATAGTCGGCTAGCGAGTCTTATATATACTAATTAGCGAGAAGGTCTTGCTATAGATTGCTACCTACTTCTTCTTTAAGAGCTAATATATCGCCTTCTTCTATAATAGGTAAAAGACGACGTATTACGCCTCGTCGTAGAGGCCCTTTATTTCTAGATATTTAAAGAAGTCTCTTATTAATAACGCGCCGCCGTATAAGTCGTAGGGTACTATAATAATGTAACTAAGGTCCGGATCTTCTTCTAGTAGGTATATTATCTTTAGGTTAGTAGTATACGTATCGAAGGTAATTAAGCTAACCTTCGAGAGGTTACCGCTAGTAAGCTACTCGCACTTTACCTTCGCCTAGCGCGCGCCTTCTTTAGCCGATTTATCGACTATTTCTATCTAACGCGTCTTAATTATATAGTAGCCGATAAAGTCGATAAGCGACAAGGTAGTAACGCCTATTCTATTACCGTTAGAGGTACTATTAATCTGCAGATTTAGCTCGTCGCAATACGCGACTTTAGCTAATATCTTCTCTTCTAGTTTCTCGAAGTGCTATAGTAGTAGAATATATCGAATTCGCGTCGTATTCGGAGGCTCGAACGAAGAGTATAGGGCGGCAAATAACGCCTTTACTACTATCTTCTCGAAGAAGCTAAACGGCTTATTTTCCTCGAAGTATACCGTACTATATAACTCCTTAAGATAGTCGTACTAAGCGGCGGTTAACGCGACCTACGGCAATTTAATCTGTTCTAGCGACGACGGCAGTTTGCCTATCCTTTACGCCTCTATCCGCTTCTTATACTTCGCGATATACTCCTTATTCCGCGTTAAGTCCTTTATACCGTCGTAATTATAGAAACGATAAATAATACGCCGCTTTGCCCTATAGTCGTTATATTGCTTAAAAAAGCGGTATACGATGTTATTAGGCTTAGCTATTAGAATACGTAATAGGAGGCGACAATAAGGATAACTAAGCGACAAGAGATACTATCGGTATAGCGACAATAGCGACGACGAGGTCTAAGGCAGAAGAAACATAAGAATATACTAGAGGACGCGATTTCGACGCGATTTAGTAGAAATCTACATACTATACCATATAGGTGTTAACCTAGGTGTAACCTATACAAAACACCATACAAATAACCCACAATGGGTCGCTCGACGTAACGCGCGTGCGATTAACTATAAGTCGCTCGAATCGCCGACCGCTGGTCCCAACGGCAGCATACCGTTGACGCTTGCGTAGCTTGTCGAACAGAGTTCTCGCTCACTTGCATCACGGAGCCGATCACCACCACCACGACGAGTCATGGGCACTCTGCCTGGCAGAGCCTCACCTCACGCCAACGCCTTGCCAACCAGCGCCTTGCACTCGTCGGTCATGGCAAGGTGCAGAGCCATATCCTGCCCTTCCTTGGACATCTTCGCCCACGTCTTCTGCAGTATGCCGATGATCTTCTGCTCGTCATGCCTCTCCTTGAACTCCTCGAACTGATCGTCAAGAAAGACAAGGCAAGCGACATCTTCAAGCACCTGTACTTCCTCTTCGCCCTGCTTGAGCCCTTCCTTTTCAATCAGCCCTCTGCATCTCTGCACATCTGCTTCCGCGTATCCGCATTGCTCCAAAATGTCCCCGACTTGCTGGGCTTGCCGCTTCTTCAGGTGTGTCCGCCAGGCGTGATAGCCAAGCTTGCCCTCTGTAAACGAGTCTCTTCTCACTTCCCATCTCCGGAAATGTTGGCCGCATATGGCCAGCTTCAATACTTCCGAAGCACTGGGAGCACGCTTATGCAGGAAGCCTTCCATCTTTTGGGAGTAATGCGTTTCGTATGGAAGCTCACTTCCGTCCTGTTTGGTATGCTTGTTTGGATCCTCGTTGTGGGCTGCGTAGATCAGGCCACGCGCCTTTTCGAATTTGTCTGCCATGCTGGATCTGGCAGTTTCTACTGATGAAGTGGTCTTTCGAAAGTACTCGGGAGGCCCCAAGCAACCAGGTTCGAGCTCGGCGGATCTCAGGCGTAAGGCATTGTCTGCTCCTGCAATTGGCTGCCCGGGGATCGTGCAGGCATACCATCGGCCGGAGCGCGTCTGCCACAGGCAAGCTAACGTTAGTTCTAAGGCGGCCCTGGTAACGAATGAGATCGATCCTTTCCGCCTGCCACTACTGCCGCTTCTCGCGCCTCTTTCGAAAAGCTCACGCAGAGAGGCACAGCAACATCACAACACACGAAAAACCCTGCGACACTGCCGCAAGAGTCACGGCGTGATGACGAGCCTGACTGGCCCAACGATATGCAATATGCAGCCTTCCGGTGTGCAGGCCGGGGCGTACAGGCCGACGTTCACAGAAATGATCCATCGCGTCAGGTCCGGTGTGCAATGAGGCTTGGGGTAATGGCCTCGTCAGAATCGTACCTGACTTCCTCGTGCCTAGACACTACGAATACGCGGCTGCTCACTTTTTACTCTGACGACTGCTCTCTTTCCTGCAACAAGCCTTTCTGCACTTGCTCTCTGCTCCCCCTTGTGTTTGCTTGGCTGGCGGTCCATTTGATTAAGTATGCCCTCTGTTCTTGCACGCCTTTTTCTTCCTGTCCACAGCCCTTTCGCTTCTGTTTCTTTGGAAGATGATGAATCACGTTGAAGACGTCGAAGGCGGACGGGGCCGTACGTGGCAACCCTATTCCAGCGACAGCACTCCTATCAACAGCTCTCCCAATCCTTCGCATCGGGAGAAGAGTGATAAGATCGAAGTCTTGGTGTTCGAGGAGAACGACAAACGAAACCCGTACAGCTGGAGTGATGGCAGGAAATGGCTGCTTGCCGGCATATCACTAATCGGGACGCTCTTTATACCACTCAACGGGACATCAATCACGGTTGCGGCAGCCCAACTCAGCCAGGAATTCAATGCCAGTGACTCGGCACACTTTACGAATACCTACTGGGCCGTGACAAGCTGGAGCGCCGGCGGCGCCGTCTTCATCATCCTCTTCCTACCATTCCTCGAAGAGCTAGGTGTTCGTCGAGTCTACCTGGCCTTCTACCTACTCTTCATCCTGATGCTCATCCCACAAGCTCTGGCCCAGAACTTTGCCACGCTCGTCGTCACGAGATTCTTCAGTGGTGGTTGTGTAGCACTACTCGCCAACTCAATCGCAAGTATCATCCCGGACCTGTGGGAAGGCCCAGCTGCCCGAAGTCTCCCGGTCGGCATCTACATTGTGCTCTACGTCGTAGGAAGCACAATTGGTCCCGTAGTCTTCGCACCTATTATCCAGTACGATCTCACATGGCGCTGGATTTTCTACATCCAGCTGATCGTCTATGGCGCTCTCGGGATCTTCTTCTTGTTCTTCTTGCCTGAGACACGAGGCCACATCATTCTTCGCCGCGAGGCCAAGAAGCTGCGAAAGCAGACGGGTCGGAAGATCTATAGTGAAGCTGAGCTCAACCCTCAACCTCTCATCAAGACACTGCCGGCGGTGATATACAGACCCACGTACCTCCTTGTCACCGAGCCAGTGCTCCTCGCTTCCACTCTCTGGTCCGCGTTCGCTCTCGGAACTATCTACGCCTTCACACAGTCCGTGGAGCAAGTATTCAAGGGTATCTATGGCTGGGAATCCTACAAATGTGGCTATGTCCAAGCAGCCGTGGTCATTGGCGAGATCTTCGGCTGGTTCGTGTCGATCTATGGCACCCGTCTTTTCCTCGAATCCGCGGATCGTAACACCGAGTTTCCAGGTCGCCCCATCCCAGAAGCTAGACTCTACGTCAGCATCTTCGGCTCTTTCCTAGGAATGACAGGAGGAATGTTTGTGTATGGTTGGACGAGCTATCCCAATCTCCCATGGATAGCACCAGCCATTGGACTCTGTCTCGTCGGCTTTGGCATCCAAGTCGTCGTGGGCGCTATCGCAGATTATATTGTTGATGCTTATGCGAATCCGGAATACAACTATGCTGGCTCGGCGATCAGTGCTGTGGCAGCTGGAGAGAATCTTGTGGCTGGGTTCCTGCCGCTGGGAAGTCAGTCCATGTACACCAATCTGGGGTTTCACTGGGCGAGTAGTTTACTTGGCTTCTTGGCGTTGGTTTTGAGTTTTGTGCCGATTGTGTTTCTTTTTTATGGGAGATCGTTGAGGGAGAGGTGCACTTTCATGCAAAGCGCTGGGAGGAAAGGTGATGAAAAATAGGTTGGTGCGTGATGAAAGTACGGGACAAAAGCTAGCGGGTAGGCGGGAATTTGGGAAAACTTCATTGTAAGTGTATACATACAGCGTCTGAACACTTCGGAGTGAAAGTGGGTATTCACCAACTCCCTGAGAAGCAAGGATTACAGCGAATAGTCACTTGTTATTCAGCGGTCCGGCCCAAGTCTTTTTCACTCCGAAGTGTAGAGACGCTGTATCATGACTGCATAGATAGATATACGCGACGCCGCTATGGGTAATGAAGAGATGACCGAGCTTTCCATTGATCGTGTCGCACTCACCACACCCACCATCGCAAAGACGGCATTCCCATATCATACCCTTGCACCCTAACCAAACCCTTCCTCGGACAAATACTTCGACTCCCTTCCACACTCTCCCTCGTCTTCCTCAAATCACAATGCGCTGCCTGAGTAATCAACGTCAACTTCCCAATTTCATTCCTCTCACAACAAATCTCTTTCACCTTATGCATCTCAAGCCTTCTCCAAACCTTGAACGCCTCCTCATCATCAACAAGACCAGAATCAATTCTCAACCGTGCTGGTGCTGCTCTGTCTACAAATTCCTCCCAAAAAACCACATCCCGATACCAAAGTCCAAGGCATTCCGCGTGAATCTGACGACTCGTTCGAAAAAACGCCGGTTCCTCGAAGGAGAAACTTGCTTGTTTTTTGCTGCCTTGTTTTCGGTCCAAAATCTCGGCGTGCATGGCAAACAAGAAAATTTTGTTTCGAAGTTCGCCGGGGAGTTTGAAGATTAAGGATTGCGCGTTTTGGAGGAGGAGGATGTGGTGTCGGACGCTTTCGAGGCGGGTTTTTATTGCTTCGAGGTCGGCGTAGCTCAGGGTGTTGAGGAGGGACAGTTGGGTTGGGTTGGAGGGCATTTTTGGGTTATGTTTTAATTTTGATTCGTACATGGGATGGTAATGGTGAGTGAAGTGTTTGATCTGGTGTGTATTGTTTGAGAGCGGTTGAGTTGTTGTCATCAAGGTGCTTGGTATGGTGGGTGTTCTCGGCCATCAATGTCGCGGGATTGTCCGAAGTTCAAGCGCGGTGGATTCTTGCAGGATTGGGGTCCACCCCGTGGAGACATGAGACAGCTGAAGAGGAGGAAAACGGAACCTCATCCGAACGGCAAGGACACATCTGATAAGATGGCGTGCAGCGTAGTACAACCAAGATCCGCTCACCTCGGCCTGGTCACCGTCCAGGGCATCAAGCCAGGGTCCATTCCTTCAGCTTCAGCTGCGGCGAAGCTTGGTAGCTGGAAATGGAAATCGTTTCGGTCAAAACGAATACGCAATCAGCTGAGTTGATCCTTCGCGAGAGTACTGTACTGTAATTAGGAAATTTGGAAGACCTGTGTCGCGTGGAATTCGCCTAGCCTTACGCCACGAACAATGATAGATTCGGTGAACATAAGCGTGGTGCAGCTTTCTTGCTCCGAACATGGCCTCAAGCTTGTACTACTCGTGCGAAAGCGGAAGGCTGGCGGATAGCACGCATGTCGTCGATGTAAGTACGCGGACGTGTGAATCGCATCGCACCTACAAGATCAATGATATCCTCTTCTTCAGATCGCAACTGCGTGCTCGTTGTGGTGTCTCTCCTTGATGCGACCAGCTTTGAAGGCCTGATCGCTTTTTGGGTAGTAGGGTGTCGAATTGCAGTAGCAAGCTGTGGTGTGATACTGGAATCAAAGTGCCCGATCTGACTAGGTCTTCGAGGAGCAGACTGAGGTGCTCTCCGTTGATGGATGAAACGTCGTGCTCGTAAAGCAGACATGCGAGAGGTCCTCCGCTCTTGAGTGCTTTTCAGCGCATGCTGCGTGTTGTGGAGTCGTCGGCGCATTACATGGCTTGTGGATCGTGAAGCGATTTTCCGATGTGGATCTTTGGGCAGTGTCACGTTTGTGCTCACAACTTGTGTTGTTCTGGGGCCGAATGGAGATGTCGTCCTCGAGATAAGCCCATAGTCAAAATATGATACTGGGACTGACCCCCTCATCGATGTCGAAGTGTCATGCTGCGTCTCTGGAAGCACTCCATCAGAGTCCCAGCTCATTTTGCTTTCGACACGCTCAATATGCCAGGGTGGAGGAGTGTCGGGTGCCTTTGCTTGTCCGTGGAAGGAAGACAGCTCATGATCAGAAATTGCGGATCGTTGAAGCGGCTTCAGGTTGATGCGCTCGCATAGAGTCTCCCATCTCGTAGGAACTTCTCGATGCTCCTCGAGCTTCTCACTGAATTGCACCCGTTTCCTAGACTTGATATTGGAGTCAGTGTCGTTCCGCGACGACTTCAGAGATGGCTTTCTGGTTCGTTGAGTATGCTCATCGGATATGCTGAGGTCGGCAGTTGCTTCCTGAAGTTCGTGCACAGAATCTATGCTTAGTGATGGCATGACGGTTGCACACGGATTAGTTTTGTTGTCAGTGGTCAATGTTGTATCTGACAAATCTTGAGATTTTTCCATTTGCATCTTCGACGCCAATCGAGAAGGGTTTGATCAGGCGATAGTCAGTAGAGTCAGCAGACTGTAGGTATTGGAAGTGGTACAAGGGTCGTATTTGTGGAGGTCGCACAGGGATTGGAGTCTGCAGGCGTGAGGAAGTGGCATGCTCTCATGAAGAAAAGAAGATCATCTTTTATTGCCGAGATACGCAGATCGTGTGCAACAAAGGTCTTGCGACTGATTGCTGTCGCAATTAGTTCCTACGCACAGCGAGACACCAGGACGCCGCGCGGTCAAAGTCCTTTATCCGTGGCGCCACTGATTTTTGGAGAGTGCATTATGGCTAGGCTGAAGAATAGCTTTGAGACACGCTCTCCCTGAAACGACGCCCAAAAACGTGAGAAACACTCCCCGAAGTTGGTTCAGGTCAAGGCATGCGGTCTTCCATCCGCAGATTGCAAACGTACCTTAGTCCGGAACGCAGAGAAGGCTTGGTAGTGACCAGATGTGACAGGAGCGCCAGTGTCATCTCGAGACGTGCTGGGTGTGGACTAAGCTGTGGGAAGCTGAGCGCGTTTCGGGAACGACTGCAGACTTCTCAAACCGCAGACACGCTCAGGTCTCGCTTTCCGCAGGCCCTCAAACCCATTTCGAGCTTATGCCGGGTAGCCAGTAGCCAGCGCACTCGAGCATCGACAGATAGCACTCCCATGGATAGAACTGCCTGACCCAGCACTGTTGGGCTTCGCGGTGAACATCGAATCCCATGCTCATGCTCATGCTCATGCTCATGCTCATGCTCATGCTCATGCTCATGCTCATGCTCATGCTCATGCTCATGCTCATGCTCATGCTCATGCTCCTGCTCATGCTCATGCCCCCCAGCGCGCTACAGAAATGTCTTCAGGGCTGCGTGTATTTGACGAGGCCATCAGTAGTCCATATGATCAGGCAAAAAGTCGAATCGCATTTTCGGGGGCGGCAAAAGTGCAGCTAACCAGCCTGGTTGGCAACTGCGGCGCCGACGACAGGAGACAGTCGCTCCAATACAACAGATCGGGGTGATTCAGGTGTCCATAGAATGCGATATATGATGGCGCAGCGTGAGCGCGTTAGGCACAGGAGACAGCGCAGCAAAAGGAGAGCACCAGCACCATTTTTGAGTTTTGACCCTGGCCTGGTTGCGCACGGCCCGACTGTCTCTCCGAATCCATTAATGCCACCTAAGGTGTTCAAGGAAATGTGACAGCGACAGCGGTTATAGAGGACACACTACGACTTTCTCCTCACCACCGACGACCTTTGGTCTTTCGCGCTTTCTCTTTCATTCTACCGCACTTCCTTCAAACGTGTGCCACTTTGCGGCTGCATCTGACGGCGTTCTCTTCGAAAGCCCAAAGCCGACGACAATAAAGAAGCATACAAAGTCACGCCTTCACTTGGATTAGTTTTGGCAGACAACGACAGGAACTATACAAACCAGCCTCAGCCTCGACGGCACAGCGTGCGCATAGCGCTCTTCAATCGCCGCGGCCATGTCGAACGAATACAACTACGATGCCGATGCGCAATTCTTCCCCTACTTCGTCTTGACCATGACGTCTCTGGTCACCCTCCCTCTCACATACTCCCTCCTGCGAACACCCACCGACACCTCCGCGCTCGCAAAAGCAGGCCACATTGACTCGGGATACAAGCCGGACAATGAGGATATCATTCTCGCTCAGCGCGCCAAGCAGAAGCGGAAAGAGCTGCGACTCAAGCGTATGCTCACCGCCGTCACAGGATGGCTCGTTATGGCGTACATGGTCTACCTCGTGCTTGTCACTGCACGTACCGAGACGAAGATCTGGGACCCGTACAGTATCCTGAATATCGGCATGTCTGCCACAGAGAAGGAGATCAACTCGCGCTACAGACGCCTGTCCATCACTATGCATCCTGACAAGCGCCAGCCCAATCCTGCCCTCAATGAAACAGAAGCTTCCATCAACGACGACTGGGTCGAGATTGTCAAGGCGTACAAAGCTCTGACTGACGAAGAGATTCGCAACAACTACCAGATGTACGGCCACCCAGATGGCAAGCAGAGCGCGAGCTTCGGAATCGCACTGCCACAATTCCTTGTTGCTGAGGGAAGTGGAAAGTACATTCTGGCCATGTACGGCTTGCTCCTGGGCATTGGTCTGCCATGGCTAGTCGGCAAGTGGTGGTACGGGATGCAAAAGCAGACACGAGAGCGCATTCTTGTCACCAGCGCTGGAAATATGGTGCGTGAATACAAGGAGCGTATGGATGGCGGTGATGTCGTCTCTGCTATCAGCACTGCTGTTGAGTTCAGAGACATCCTGCACGGTACAAAGAGCGAACAGGATCTGGGCAAGCTTGAAAATAGACTGCTCTCCAATCCGGAGGCCGCGCTCCTCCCGAAAGACCAGACCAAGCTACAGGATTTGGAAGATCAAGTCCGGAGAAAGACTCTTGCTCTACTCTGGGCCTATCTTACTCGCACCGACCTTGGAGACAAGACCCTCGAAGCAGAGAAATTCGAGATCGCTCCTACCGCCGAACAAATGAATCAAGCTTTCATATCGATTACACTGGCATTCGGCTTCACCGCACCACTGATGTCCACCTACCATGTCAACCAGTCTCTTGTGCAAGCTGTACCGCCTTCGTCAGCTTCACGCTCACCGTTGCTGCAACTACCACATTTCACATCCACAGCCATCCGCCAAATTGAGAATGCCGCCAACACAAACAAGGAGCATATGACCATTCAGTCTTTTATGGCTCTGCCTGCCGAACAACGACAAGCGCTTGCTCAGGCAGCTGGAATCACCAACGATAAGTTGAAAGTTGCTGAAGGTGTTGCGATGAAGCTGCCATATCTTCGCGTTGAAAAGGCATTCTTTAAGGTGGCTGGCGAGAAGTACATCATTCCATCGTCCCTAGTGCAAATGGTCATCAAAGCTCGCTTCATACCACCCGGCACACCTGCATCTCGAATCCCCAAAGTTGATGAGAAGGACCTTCTAGACATTGACCCAGCCGAGGGCGACGTCAAAGCTCAAAAGATTGAGCAAGAGCAGAACCCCGTTCCTCTTGCACATGCCCCCTTCTTTGCCAAGGATAGAGCGCCGAAGTGGCACGTCTTTCTGGCGGATGGCCGGCAAGGCAAGATTGCCGTTCCGCCATTCACCTTTGTCACTTTCGACAAGAAGCCGTTCGACGCTGATGGCAAGCCAACGTTTGCGGTCGTCACACTCAAGATGCAATTCGGTGCACCACCACAACCCGGCGAGTACAAATTCCGATGCACATGGTATGCGACAGCTATATCGGCTTTGACTATAAGCAAGATATCTCGCTCAACGTTGATGACCCAAGCAAAGCTCAGGAGGTGGACGATGACGAGATCAGCGAACCAGAAGAAGGTGAGCATGCCTGTTCCGCTCTACTCTACCCTAATACTGATTCATTCGCAGACACTATTGCCGGTCAAATGGCTGCGCTGCAAGGGAAACCCACCGCTGATGCAGATCGTCCGCGCCGCAATGAGCGCCTGCGGAAGAAGCTAGAAGAAGATAGCGACTACGAATCTGGCACCGATGATGAGGATCAGGACTCTGAAAGCGAAACAGACACCGATACGGACAGCGAGGCTGAAGATGCCCAGGTCAAGAAGAAGGGCTGGTGGTAGTTTATAGGCTGTACATGGTTATAGTGAAATATTCTAGCGAGGCGTTCAGGCGGAGCATTGTATTGGCATGTTTTGTATCAAACGCCTCGTACTACGTCCTTACCTCTGATCTAGTGTGGCAGGCAGAGCGTCATTGACGGCGTCAAACATCGGAGCGACCACCGCTAGCTTTGAGCTAACATCTCTCGATTGCGGAATAGCTCAATCAATCGCCCGTCGAAACGCTTTCGTCCTCGATGGCCTTTCTTGTCCCTTCTCTCACTCCAGAAGTCAAATTTACTCTCCGGCGGCGCCAAAATCTTGGGATCCTCCTCACTCACCTCATCCCCGACTCCAAAACCCTCGATCATACAGATCAGCGCATACTTACTCCCAAACACTTCCGTCAAATTTCTTGTTCGCAATGAGCGCAGAATGCTCATCAATCGCTAATCTGTCAATGGCCTATAACCGTAGTACTATATCAACGCCTGAGAAGCTGCTTCAAATCTCTATTTCGTGATATACTCCTACCATCTCTCCCCTCAACATCGCATTTAGTAAATAAATCATCTTCCTACTCCGGCTTCCTCGGCTTCCTATCAGCCAAAACCGTCGCAAACATCGCCATAGCCTTAACATTCACTTCCGCCGGCACAGGTTGATCCGGCTCCGCCAACTGACTCAACAATTTGAAATAATTGATATAGAAACTTGGAGTCGTCGTGAAGAAAATTTTTGCTTCTTCGTCAAAGGGATTGCTGAATGTATGTGGGGCTCGGATTGGGACGACGACGTAGTCTCCGGTTTTTGCGTCGAGGATTTTTTTGTCGTGGCCTTCGGAGGTGGTGTCTGGGATGTGGAAGCGTACGGTGCCTTGCGTGATTAGGAAGGTTTCGTCGTGCATTTCGTGCCAGTGTGGTGGGGGTCCGGGGGTTTTGGGGGGCATGATTAGTTCGGCGGAGCCTAGGCGGTTGTCTGTTTGGGTGTGAGGATGGGTGGTCTTTAGAATTGGGCGATGACTTCAGCTTACCTGTGTGAGAGCCGTCTTCTAAGATTCGACAGGTCAATGGACCGAGTTTGAGGACTTCGCCAGCTTTCGCTTCGACAAACTCGATGTCTCTGTCTGGTACGCTGACTAGGCCGGCCATGGTTGTTCTGCCGAATGTGTGCAGTGAGTCAAGTCCCTTCGTTCGGTCTCAAGAATTGAGAAGATTCGATTCTTGAAAGGGGCAATTGTGGGAAAGCGGAGACTGCATGAAAAGGAACAGAGAAGAGCACTCAGCTGAGAGATGTGGTGATGTGATGTCGGAGATAGTGGGGCCTTTGGTTTAGAACCACCGCATCTTGAACCTGCTGTGACCATGGCCAAAATCCATTTGAAGCATCTGAGAGCCTTAGCAACATCATCCTGGCACAAATTGTACTGTGTTCGGAGCCGGATAGCTTCAGAATTGCTTTCGGTGCCGTGGAGTGGGAGCGAGGTCAGGACATGGATCTGCGGCAATGAAGCCCTACATCGTGTGGCGGCGATGCTGAGTCTCTGAGCAGTTTCGAGGTGAACAGCATGAACAAGCATTGTGTTCCAGACAAATACTCTAGCGAGAAAGAGAAGGCAATCTGCTGAGACTGGATGACGAAGGTGAAGGCGTGACTGTGGCGACGCTTTCGCGTGGTCTTGGCACGACGCGTCGCGCTTGCCTGAATGCTTGCATCTGCACCTCCTAACAATACGCCATGGCAATGGCAAAAGAGCGGCGGCCATCACGATGAAGCCCTTCAAGCCGCCGAGTCTGGTCAATCGGCCTGCTCAAGTGCCATCGCCGCCTTTGGGCGGACCCCCTGCAAAGAGGCGTCGTATCAGCAAACAAGGCGACGAGGAAGACGGTGTGGAGTCGACCATTGCTGCCGCAAAGATTCTGTCGACTGCGCCCAGCACAAAACCACTTCTTCCATCGCAAAAATTCCAGCCACCAGCGATTCGGAAGCCTCTCACTCCACTCCCCAATGCATCCTCTCAACCTGCGACCCAGCCTGAGGATGCTCTTCAAACCTATTATCTGGTCTTGTGGCGGAAGTTCACAACGAAGAAGAACAAGACTTGGGATGGTGATGGTGTGCTCTCCGTCTCTGGCAAGTCTGGTGTCCTTCAGGACATCTGTGGTAAAGAACTCGGTCGTGGGGTGGTCAGAGGCCCACTTCTGTCTGGCTCAGAGCTCTCCATAGGTGGCAAGGAGGTGGAGGTCGATAACATTCTTCCCAGAGAAGAATATATCTCTGGTCGTGTCTTTCTCGGCACCAAAAAGTCTACGCCTGCGCCCTCGTTGAAGGAGATTGATAAGACCAATCGCGTTTCACAGAAGGCACAGGCGAAGCATAAGAAGCTTGCTGAATCCCAGAAGGAACGTTTGACCACAGCCATCGCTTCAACTCAATCTACAAAGTCCACCTTCAAGACTCCGCTCCTACACAACACGGTCGAGTCAACATCAAAGACTTCGAAAATTCCCGAACCGCGCCATGACCCCAAGGGTGAGAATGCTCTGGTCATGAAGCGACTGGCTAGTGTGCCGAAAGGTAGACAGATTGTCGATGTTGTCGTCGATCCGCTGCTCACGAAACATCTTCGAGAGCATCAGCGTGAAGGCGTTGCATTTCTCTACGAATGTGTGATGGGCATGAAAGATTACGATGGCGAAGGTGCGATCTTAGCGGATGAAATGGGGCTCGGAAAGACTTTGCAGACCATTGCACTGCTGTGGACGCTTCTTAAACAGAATCCGGTCTTCGAAGATGCTCCTGTCATCAAGAAGGCTCTCATCGTCTGTCCAGTGTCATTGATCAAGAATTGGCGGAACGAGTTTCGCAAGTGGCTGGGCAGCGAGCGCATCGGCGTATTTGTTGCTGATGACAACAAGATGCGACTCACGGATTTCACGAAAGGCAGAGCCTATCACGTAATGATCATCGGCTATGAGAAGCTCACCAAAGTCAAGGATCAGCTCCAAGGAGGAACTGGGATCGACATCGTCATCTGTGATGAAGGACACCGCCTCAAGACTGCAAGCAACAAGGCCGCTGGTGCTATCAAATCGTTGAACACCGATCGACGAATCATTCTTAGCGGCACACCGATCCAGAATGATCTTTCTGAATTCTACACGATGGTCGACTTTGTCAATCCTAACATCATGAGCAAATACACAACCTTCAAGAAGGAATTCGAAACACCCATCCTCAAATCGCGACAGCCTGGTGCGTCGCAGTCTGATCTGGAAAAGGGCGAAGCTCGAAGCGCCCAGCTCGCTGATCTTACTGGCAAATTTATTCTGCGCCGCACTGCGGAGATTTTGAATAAGTATCTACCACCCAAGACGGAATATGTGGTCTTCTGTAGACCGACAGAAGCTCAGAAGACTGTGTATCGCATGATCGTCAGTTCGCAGGCGTTCATGGCTGCAATGAACACCAAAGCTGTGGTGTTGGAGCTCATTATGATTCTCAAGAAAGTTTGCAACAGTCCCAACCTGCTGATACAAAAGACGGGCGACAAGGATGAGCAGACCAAGCGCTCTGACCTCTTCGAGGATGTGCCGAAGCATTTGCTCGGCTCTGCTGGTTCTAGTGGCAAGCTGCAGGTGTTCGATTCCTTGCTTCACCAAATTCACACTCATACTGACGAAAAGGTTGTGGTCGTGAGCAATTACACCTCCACAATGGATGTACTCGGTCGCCTTTTGACATCCATGGATATGAGCTTTCTTCGGCTTGATGGAAGCACACCTACGAATAAGCGTCAGGAGATCGTCGATCACTTCAACAGGTGGCCCCGTAAGAAGGCCTTCGTGCTGTTGCTGTCAGCAAAAGCAGGAGGAGTTGGTCTCAACCTGATAGGCGCCTCCCGACTAGTCATGTTCGATATGGATTGGAACCCTGCAACCGATCTTCAGGCCATGGCACGCGTGCACAGAGATGGTCAGAAGAGACCTTGCTTCATCTACCGTCTGCTTACCCAGGGAGCTCTCGATGAGAAGATCTTTCAGCGCCAAGTGAGCAAGGTCGGTCTTGCAGACAGCATCGTTGATGGCAAAGCCGCCGCGAGTGGTTTCACGCAAGCGGAGCTCCGCGATCTATTCACGCTGGACGAAGGCGAAGACTGCCAGACGCATAAACTGTTGGGATGCAGTTGTGGTGGCAACGGGCAACCCGTTGCAGATGTCTCGGAAAGTGAAGTCGATTCAGAACAGACCTTCACAGAGCTCGACGAGAACGGAGTCGAGGTATGGCGAATGGACGGAGACTCCGACGATGACCATGCATTTCTAGCACAGAAGAAGAAACAGAAGATTCCCACCCTTGCTGAAGTCGACCGTGATGCGCAAGAGGCAGAAATTGAACGGAACGCCAAGGAGAGTCGTGATTCTGCCGGTCGCGCCAAAATGTTAAGCTTAATGCAGTATACGCATTTTGACACGGCGCTTGCGCATCACAAGCCTAACGTCGCACCAATGATGTCAGGCGAGGACGACGACGAAGAATTTGACACGTCCAACAACGACTCGTCGGTTTCGGAGGTCGTCGAAAGTGCTGTGCAGGACGATGCGCTGCGGAGCGTCATCTGCGAGCCTGGAGGAAGGGTTGGCTTTGTTTTTGCAAAGTTGAGCTCCTAGTTCACGGGCAGTGGGCAGTACAGTATCGATAAAGTTGATGGCTGATGATGGAAATAGATTCAGATTGCTCACGAAGACATAGATCAGACAGCATAGCAGTAATTAATGTACAGGACAGCGCAAAGCTCTGTACTGTTTGGGCTTCGACGGTCAATTCAATTCAAGGCATTAAGGCCTTTTATTAGACGAAAGACTATATCGGATCAGGCGAACAGCAGACATCACTGATGTACGTGAGTGAATGAAGACGATTTGCATCATGGGTATCTCACAGCTGAAAATTAGGTATATACAAAGCTCATCTGAGACTGTTCTGTGTTCTGAGAGGGATGATTCTTTTTTTTCCTTCTTAATTATTACTTACCTTCCCCTCCTCCTCTCCCCCATTCTTCTTCCCATCACTCAACATCAACCTTCCTAATTTCCACATATCCCGAATCCAACTTTGGAACTTCAATCCTCAAAATCCCATCCTCCAACCTCGCAGTGATCCCATCGACGTCGACTTGCGCCGGGTTAGCTCGACTCCCCAATCGCAGCTTCCGCTCGAAAGCCCCGACCTTACGCTCATCAAGCGCAAGCGTTTTCAAAAACTCTTCGTCTCCGGGACGGTAGGTGACTCCAGTGATGCTGAGTTCGGATTTTTCCGCATCCCAATTTACGGATATGTCTTCTTTTTTCGCTCCTGGAAGGGAGATGTGGACCACGAAGGCTTCGGGTGTGTCGAAGACGTCTGCGTCGGGTTTGTGATCTTGGTTCTTATTGTCGGGGTTGTTTTCGGCGAATGGGTTTAGGTGCTCTTGGAACATGTTGGTCCAGGCGCTGAAGGGACCTCCTATTCCGGTGTATGGGTGGAAGTGGCCTCGACCGCCGCGGGCCCAGGCTCGACCTCCGCGTCCACATGGACCTCGACGTGGGCCGGGACCGTGGTGTCCGTGACGACCGGGGCGGCGTCCTTCTTCTGGGGATGAAGGGAAGGGTGGTGGTGGACCTCTTGGGTCGGATGGACCGGCTTCTGGGGCATCCTCATCCTCGTGGGGTGGAGGAGGCGGTGGTGGACCTTCGTGATGTGGTGGTGGACCATGATGTGGGTGTGGTGGTGGCGGTGGCGGTGGCGGTGGTGGACCGTGGCGTCCACGGTGAGGGAATGGTCCCCAAGGGAACCCAGCCCAGCCGTTTGACCACGAGTTTCGATGTTCGTTTTCTTGTTCGTTGTCGGAGCCCTCCTCTGGATGGCGAGTGCTGCCTTGTTCCTCTAGAGAGGCGACAAAGTCCCAGAAGGGAGCTGTCTGGTTGTAGTATCTTACTGAAGGCATATTTGTTGATGCTCTGATGTTGGAAAGAAAGTGGGTTGTGGTGGTTGGATGACGAAGGGAAGGAGGACTACTGAGCAACTTGAGCGGATCTTATACAAGACGATACGACCACCTTACCGGATGGCGAGCGTCAAGGTTGTAGGCAGCCAGATAGGCACGCGGAAGCTTCGTCAGCCACTACGCATGCAGAGTGTAGAAGAAGCCGGACGGTGGAAAGTAGGCAGGACGGTTGCTGATAGGCTGCAGGAGGTGTACGTAGGATAGTGTAGGATGTAGCCACAGTGGCAAATAGGAATTATAGATGAATCTAGCCTGCTACAGCGTGTTGACTCATGGTTCGTGTGTGCTTGTTGGACGGATGTAGGTTCGAAGGATGCGCATGTTCGGGAAAGCTTGACGATGAAGAGTTCGGCCGAAGCGGTTCGAATTGCCCGAGGGAAGTCACGTGGCTATCCAGCCCGTTCCAGCCAAGCCTTGCTGCCTGATGGCCTGAACGGAGGGAGGTAGGACTCCTTCAACTGCCTCCATCTCAGGCTATTTTCGCTTTGTGCTCGTGACTTCCTTCATGTTCTACGTGCACCGGATCTCGGGTCTTCTTAATATAGTATAGTATAGAAGGAAGAGCGAGCCTTAGCGAAGCGCCTAAAGATAAACTATACTAATCGGGCGATTCCTTGTTCGTAATACCTCCTTATAGAGTATATATAGATTTACAACTTAATACCTACTATAGATAGGGCTTAGTATATATAGAGGGGGTTCTATAGTATAGGAAGGCGCAACACATCGTAAATATTTTAAAATTAGTATCGTAAAAGTAAGATCTATAGTCTATTCTAACTATACGGACAGTTTCGGCTTCGCGTTTGTTCTACGAATACCTATATTACAATAGATAATAACTATCTTCTAGAATACTCTATCTATACGAGGAACCTTAGAAAGCAATGCTCTAATACCTCTAAGTGTCGCTTTACCCGTATTTGCTATACTTTACTTATACTCGCTACCTATCGGTACCTACCCTTAAAATAGCTATTTCGCTAATTTATCGAAACCTCGATACCTATACGGATACCTAGTAACTCAAAACTTCTTAGACACCTTTAAGATATATCCGCGATCGTGTTTAACGTTATACGCTGCCGGATAATCTAGTATTTAGTGCCTCTATATCGTATCTAGTATATTAGCTACCCGATACATCCGCGATAGCGACACTCGAGCGCCGAGACCTACTGTTCTAAACAGTACGGACACCCGCTCCGCAGTCTTCGCTGCTTCTTAAAGTCGTATATACTACCGCTTAATAGACCCCGACTATTATATCTAATACTCGAAACCTAGTCTTCCGATATCTTCTATATCTACTATACTAATACTTCTGCTAACACTTCTAATAGTATATAATAGGCGACTATAATACCTAACGCGCTCTCTAACCTCTCTACGCGCGATCGCGATAAGGCTAAGAAGGGTAGACTTAATATCGGCGATACTAGCGCTAGCGCTAGAAATCGGTGTAAGAAGGAAGGCGATAAGTACTTCGTACGCCTACCCGGTCGGCCTGCAATTAATCGAATAGAGCCTTAATAGACTATCGACCGCGAGCTAGAGATACTAGAACTTAACGAGGATAATAAAGCTAGTTAGGCGGCATACTTCGAATAGCGCTACGCTAATATAGACGAGTATAGCCTCGAGGAAGTATAGCTACTTATATAGGATGCTAGTAGCAATTAATAGGCGATGCTATTCTATCGTCGCATTGTCGAGCATAGTCTGCGGCGTATATTAAAGCTAATATATCCCTATCGCGAGCTATTACTAGAACCGACTAAGATATAGCTCGACTACGTCTATACTATTATCTTCGGAAGATAGGATGTGTTACTTTTAGCTCGTACTAGCGCTAGCAAAACGATTATCTTCTAGGCCTATACTATACTTACTAGCTTTATTATATTACAGATCGTGCCGCTAACCCGCATCGCTAATAACTTAGTAATAAGTAGAGCGAGGATATAGTACAAGCTATCCGCTAGCTAGATCCGGATAAGTAGAATCTAATTAAGGTCTGCGTCCTTACTACCTAGACTAAGGAGAAGGATCTAGGCATACTAGTAAACATTAAGGAAGGCCGATATTAGTATATTATCTATAGTCCCGAGCAAGCAATAAGCGCTAATTTCTAGGAGGCCCTACGTAGCATTACCGATCGCCTTAGCTTATAGGTATAGGATAAGGCGTATATATATCTTAAGTAGAAGAACTTCCGCGGAGATTATAGTATCCTTTACCTCCTTCGCTAGCTTATAATATAGGACACGACTATTCTCGCGTACTCTACTATATTAACTAAGGAAACTAAGAAGTACCTCCTCGAGTATAGCCTCCGTCTATAGGGCAATAGCGCTTTCTAGACCTAGGTTATCTAGAGCACTATCAATCGCCCGGATACTAGATATATCTTACAAGAAATCCCGAAGGGCTAGATAACAGGCTTCGATTACCTATACTTTGTAGTCTAGTATATAATAGACAATAAGGGCTTAGCTATACTATAGAACATCTAGAAGACTATTATATTTATTAATAGTCGCAAGCAGATCGATAAGGCCCGAGTAACGATGTACTAGTAGCTCGTACTCTTAACTAATTACATTAATAAGAAGTCTCCGGCTAAGTAATACTCGCGGAAGTATACTTAGGATAGAGAGCTATTAGTACCTAGCGGAGACCGTACTATCTATATACTTAGTATTATATCCTTCTATACGGTATATATAGCTAATATCGATAAGGATAAGCGATATAAGGAGTTTAAGAAGCGAGAGTCTTAAATCCGCATCCTGTTCGGCACTCTAGCAACTTCTACTAGGGTTAATATACTAGATATCGCCCTAGTAATCTAGATTAAGCTTCTAATTACTAAGGATGTCGATAATCTAATATAGAAGTTTAGTCGAGCGGCTCGCATCCCTAGTATAGAAGCATTAGCAGTTATGTTCGCGCTATACTAGCTTAATAATCTAGAAAAGCGTATAGTAGAGGGTTCTAAGCACCGCTCGATAATCCTACGACACCTAATAGCGCCTAGTGCTAATACCGTTATGCCCTATTAATTATAGGACTATATCCTAGTCCGACTATCTAACCTTCGATATACTACTGTTCCTAGTAAGGAGTTTAACGTTAATAAGGCTATCTTCGATGCGTTTAGTTAGGAGGATAAAGAGGAAGATAAGGACACTATTATAGCCGCTTAGCAGTAAGCAGTTACTATGCCACCTCGTCCTTTTTAGTCTATAGGCAATCCTTTTAATAACGCTATCGCAAAAGCGATCGCTAAGAACGCTACTAAGAAGCCCTAGTCTAATAAGGAGATCGGCTAGCGTAATAACACCCTAGATATCTAGCTATAGTTATAGAACATGCGCTACTACCCTAACCTAGCGTATCGCCGTTGCTTTCGTAGTATAATCTTAGAGATCTATAGCGAATACGAGTGTATATATCCTGTCGACAAGGTCGTAGTAGGTACTGCCGATTGTTGTAGTATATGCAATCTAGATCTTCTAAATCGGCTAGTCTAGGAGGGCTACACTGCTCTACTAGTGCTAAAGGCACTAACAGCCCCTACTACTAGATTAACTTAGTACTACGCCCTATTATATCTCGAGACCTTTATCTCTAATATTATAGAGTTAATCTTTCTAGATCAATACGACAATCGCCTATTTAGAGTAATCCTATCCGCATTTATAGTACCGGAGCCTGCCCTATAGAATCTCTATAATGTCTTTAACTAGAAGTACGGCCGTACGGACAATGCCTTCCGAAGCTACACTTCTTTTTACGGCTAGGATTACGACGCTCCTATTAAGGAAACAGATATCGAAGAGCGGGCTATAGAGTTCTATATATAGTATTAAGCCGATAAAGCGAACAACCGTCGAGAGATCCCTATAGAAGCGCTTCTCCTAGAGATAAACCGCATTATCTATAGTGTCTTTGCTAGATACGAGGTCTTCGCTATAGAGAAAAAGAAGAAGGAGGACGATAATAAGAAGGCAAAGGAGGCTGCTACTACGGCCGCCGGTGCCGCGCCTCGGCCTATATAACCTACCGCTTAGTCTACTAACTAATAGTAGCGCCGTAACTAGTTGTAGAAGAACACCTAGAATTCTACTCGCTCTACTATCGAGGCTCGTAAGAAGATAGTAGCGAAGAATACTAGAGGTCGAGCTATATAGGATCTAGATTACGAGGAGACTGCGCGTCGCCGAGTAGAAGGTAGTAGTAGCTAAGCAGGAGGTAGTAATAGTAGATTAAGCCGTTGCTTAGGTCGTACTCGTACGCTATCGGCTCGAGAGAGAGAGCGTAGGCGTAAGGCTAGCTAGTAGGAAGGTAACGATATAGAAGACTTGCTAATGTTTAGTATATAATATTCTACGAGAGTATACCTAGTTTAGCTGCTTCTGCGAGAGCTAGCGTATAATGCCTAGTTTAGCTACTTCTACGAGAGCTAGCGCTAGAATTAGCGCTAGAATTAGTACTAGAATTAGCACTAGAAATAGTACTAGAATTAGCGCTAGAGATAGCACTAGAATTGGCGCTAGAGATAGCACTAGAATTGGCATTCAATAAGGTCCTTCCTTACTACCCTTCTATTATATCCTTATAAGCTCGCTAAGTCCTTATCCTATCCCCGGAAAAGTAAGCCGTAATACTACGCTCGATCGTAGGTTATATACTATACTATCTTCTAGATCGGATAGGTTGTATACTATAATATTAGCGTATAATATGTAATGCCTAGTTTAGCTGCTTCTGCGAGAGCTAGCGTATAGTAGTACCTAGTTTAGCTGCTTCTACGAGAGCTAGCGTATAGTAGTGCCTAGTTTAGCTGCTTCTACGAGAGCCGGCGTATAATGTAGGATGCCTAGTTAAGCTGCTTCTACGAGAGCTAGCGTATAATATATAGTAAAATAGCGCTAGAATTAGCAATAAAGATAGTGCTAGAGATAGCACTAGGAT